TAGGGAGACAAAGGTATAACTTACCCTATAGTCTAGTAGTATATAGACTATAAGTGGGTTCCCTACTACGGTTAGACGCTATAGGAAGCTATCGAAAAAGTTAAGGTCCTCCCCTAGGGTATTTAGCCTTATACTAGCTCCTTTCCTCGGGAGTATTTCTTAGCCTTAGCGAAGCTAGTTGTTATCGCTTTTGTTAGGGCGCTATAGCTTAATAAGGGGGTTAGTAAGTTCGCCTTAGCTTACTAACCCTAATCTTTTCCCTACTTTATTCTATAGTTTCTTTGAATATAGCCTAGCTTACCGTAATAGTAATAAGTATAGGCGTCCTATATTACCGATAAGTCTATTATATTAGGGTCCCTAGTGTGGTAACCACCCTTTAGACTTAGTCTAAAATATCTATATACTATAGCTTCTTAGCCACTTCTCTCTAATTCTAGTAGTAAGTCTATAGCGTTCTCTACGCTTATTTCTAGTTAACCCTACTACCGGAACTATTTAGCTTATAGGAAGGGGTTTAGGCCTAATACTAATTATAGAATATATCCCCACTTAGTTAGGGGTTCTAGTAGGTTTCGGGATAGCTCTAGTAAGTGACTATAGTAGGTTATAAAGGACTCCTTCCCTTACTATTTATAGGTATATTCGTATAAGTAGTTAGATTCCGCTATCTTTAGTTTAAACTTTATACGTACCTATATTTTAAACGCTTCCTAGCTAGCGATCTACTTACCTAGCCTAGCGTTAACTTATTAGTTTATAGTATACCACTTAATATAGGTATCTCTAATTAATAAGCTAGATATAAATATAAGTTTATATATATTATCCTCCTCCTTACCGCTAACTATCTAGCGCTTTCGGAAGTACTCCTTAACGTTATATAGCTAGTAGTTTATAGTATTACCTCGCTACGCACTAGCGTACTTATTAGGGTAAGCTAAATCCTTTAGGTAGCTAGCCACTTCCGCTAGGTATACTCCACTTAGGTATATAGTTTTCTCCCTAGGGGTACCTTAGCCTAGTTCTAGGTCGGTCGCTATTACTAGTAAGATAATAGCCTTATATTATACTACCCTTATTTCTAGGTTCTCTAGAATATACTAGAAGAGAGTTATCCTTTATAGGGGTACTACTAAGCGATTAAATACTTATCGCACACTATCCGGTAAGTATCCCCTAAAGATTTTAGGGGTCACTAGTCCTATATTTACCGGTTCTAGTTAGAAGTGCTACTTAGTAGTATAGTATTAACTTTCTTTAGAGGTATTTTCTATTATAGTAATATATATTGTCCTTCTCTTAGGGGATTAGTAAGTTAGTAGCTTATTATTAGTATTAGTGTCTATTCTCTACCTACCACTTACTTCTCGCTTCTTAGGGGCCCTATTTTTCCCCTATTAGATACGGATCCTTAACCTTAGTAGAGACTTCTATATACCCTAATTAATAGGGCCTTTAGTGCCCTCTATTTAGCTCTATAAGTCCCTACCCTAGGTCCCTAGATCGAGATTTCCTTATAGTAAGCGCTTACCCTAGCGCTTTTCTAGCTACCTAGCGACTTAGGACCTACCTATCCCTATATCCCGGCGCGGTAAAGTAGCTTCTTCGCGGGATACTACTTCCCCTGGCCAGCTTACCTCGGGGGGTAAGGCCTTAGCAAGATATACTACTAGATAAGATTCTATAAGGATCGTATGGTTTCTATTGGATAGTACTAGCCGTAGGATATATACTAAGTAATTATATAAGCCGCTCCTCGCTTGCTTCTCTAGTATAAACTAACTATATAGGGCTACTAAGCCCTGTCTTCGGTGGCCGAAGTGCCGGTGGTTCTAGCTTGGCAGACTGCTTCGTCTCTGCCTCAGGCAGTCCGCCAAGCCTGAGCCTCAGGCACTAAGCGGTATGTAAACCCTGCAAACCGCTTGGGATCACACCCTTCCTGTTGAAGGATCTCATTATATAATATTCAGCTCCTTCCAAGGTGTTGGACTGAGATAGCATATTGACCTTTGTGGTATCCGCTATATTTAAATTCCTCATTGGTACACCATCTATTCGTTTTATAACCCTCAACTTTGTGAGTAATAACCAATAAGAAACTGAGACATCGTCATCTCTCCTTCACCTGAAGCCACGCCTCTCAACCCTTCTCCAATGTGCAAGAGACGGGAGACTTGGTCGACTGGAGATTGCCCTTAAGACCGTTGTTGAGTCAGTACTGCTCTGGATGCACCGAAAATTTAAACAACAAAGTTGTCAGAACAAATTGAGAAACTCGTGGGATCTCTTGCAGGGGTTCCTGATGATTCTTCATTGATGACCTCGCAGGACATACGCACCTGCTGAGAGATCTATCAATCCAGTGGATCGAGTAATCAGAAATGCGAAGCGAGTCCGATGTCACGAGCCGTTTGATAAGAACCCATTGTAGCAAGTACAGAAAGTGGTTTAAGACGCCATCAGCAGCAATAAAGAAGCCTATGACCCACCCTTCCAAAATCTAACGCCCAAAAAGACCCTCGAAGGATCTTCTGAATTTCCATATACAAAGCAGTCCCTTCCAGGGTCAGTGGGCCTTCATCAGACTTAGCTTGCCCACTCCACAAGACACAGTCAAGAACCGAGTGGCAATCTTCGTGGTGAATTCGGATCCAGCGGACCCCCAACAAATTAGCTGTGTTGTTTACAATTGGCAAGTGTTTTGTTCTAGTAGGGCTTCAGGAGAGATTTCGAGGATTCAGATTATTAAATAACGCCATAATTTAATCCGCGTTTTTGCATCAACAAACCAAGACCATGTGGCCCAATGAAATACTCATCAGGGTCATTCCAAAGTAAGCGGAGCAGATCGCTTCCCTGAGCGGTGTTTCTCATCAAGTAATGATTATTACTCAACACATTTGCAATTAGCTCACGCTGCTCATCCTTCACCAAGCAGGAGCCAATCACCATGATCGGCCACATCGAGATGCAGGAGTAATTTGACAGTACAACCCGCGGTAGATGTGATAAAGCTAGATCGAGGAAGGGCTGTAGATGATGCAGTCGCATGGAGTCATTTCTAGAGATTGGCGGGATGGTGGTTTTCAGGAAGGCTAGCAAGGCTATTCGAAAGAATTCCAGGAACGTACTGTGCGCCGACAGCACCTTAATTTCGGGTTTTTCTCGCACTAGAGTTCCCAGGTATTCAATGCGAATCATAAGCTGGTGACGTGTCCCATAATTATTCTGGTCTAGATTTTCGCCCATCGACAATTGTGACCCTTGGTTTCGGGCTAGACGTGATACGTGTGGTATCAGTTCGAAAAGATTGTGGACTCCGTTGAACATGACACCAAATGCACCGAAGTCACGCAAATCGTCGAGTGAACGGAGAAATGGGTCATGAACGACAGTTCGATTGCAATTCAAATCTGATGGAGTGATGCTGTTGGACAAGACAATGTAAGAATAAACCTCGGATACAAATCGGAGTACTTTTCGCTCCCCAGTCAACGTGAACCGGTTGCTATTGCGTCGCAAATGTAGCATCAGGTGACTGCTCGCTCTCAGGTGGGAGAAAGGGGATCCGCCAAGGTTGCCAGAGATCACCTTCATTGTTTAAACAAAGTCAGATTATGAATTGATTTGAATTTATGATCAAGTTAGATGCTTACCTCATAGTGAAAAAGAATCAAAATGGCCAAGGCCACTCGAAGAAGCACCAAAGGCTCGAGAAAAATATTAGGATCATCGAAAGCTCGATGAAGAGTCAGCAACGACATGGAGTAATGTCGGTACGTCGCATATTTCACTTGTCGATTGTCTGGAGATTTGTAAAGAAGATGCCCCCCGCTTAGAGCGAGGATGCTGTTCATCAGCAGATCATCACTATAGGCGACGGGCAATAGCCACGAAATGAAAGGTATATCAGGTGCCGGAGCCAGTTTGGGGCCAGTGATTTCAATGTAGTGCGATAGCAAGATTTGAGATGCTGGTAATAGCATTCCAGCTCTTCTAGGGCTCAGAAAGCTTTTTAACTGCGGGAACCAAACAGCGACATGGTCTTCCTCATGATCTACATGGTTATCTCCATTTCTTGGAGACACATTGGAATCTATGCTGGCAGCTCGAGTGGAAGGAGATGGGGCTCTGTATCTCGTTCCTGAGTGATGTTGATCTCTGATTCGAGAAAGCCCAAAGGAATGACCATCGACAGGAACTTGTGCATCACACTTGAGTCCAAATATTCGTATTATGTGAGGGGGCCAGATGCATTCCAGCTTATTGCGTGTGCAAGCCCGACATTGCGGTTTAGTCTCATCGCATTTCTTCTTTCGTTGACGGCAAGACACACATCCCGTCCTAGTGCGAGGAACTCTACGATTCATCTTCGAACGGTGCAGTTGAATGGGCGAGTTACCTGAAATGCGGATAGGTATATTGAATTGGTGGATGAAACTGACTTTTGCAGATAACGTGAGCGCATTGCATCTCCTTCTCAGAATGGATGTTGAGGCATGTTGGGAAGAAAGATGGAAACCTCGGGGGTTATACCGGACAGGATCTGATTCGCCCTGCCAAGTGTGACCTAGTCTGGTTATGTGGGTCAAATCATTAGATCACATGGCTGCTCCCATTTTCTTGGATACATCGCGTATTAGCGTGTTCAATGCATATTCATTTTGGCTGCTAAAAGTTGTAGCTCATAGAGTGTCAAGAGAGACATGGTGGCGAAAAGCGAACGCGAATCGCACCATACTAAAAAGGCAATCAAGACGTGTTCTAGCCTGCATCCATCGATAGCTTCCTACGAACATTGAAGTACTGTCCATGTGTGATTCAAGCGGGCTTGGAATAACAGTGCCTCAATTTAGCTTACTCTTAGATTGAAGAGGCTTTGGTGAAGTCAAACGCCCGCTGAACATTAGCTCTCCTATTACTCGATCGAGACATCCATTTGGAATGTGGTTAAATATGTACATAAAGGGCGGAGTCCGGCAGGGAAACGTGCGTAGTCATTTCTTTTCCTTTTTATCGTCGGCGTGCGCTCCACGAAGAGCACGAGCGACCTCATTAGCGGCACGCTCACCTGACTGCACGGCTCCTTCCAGATACCCAGGATGCTCCTGCGCCGTCTCTGTTCCCGCCCAGTGCAAGTTTTTGATCGGTTCATGAGGCATCGGCAGATGGCCATCACTAGTGCCAACAACAGGATATGCTAAATACCCACCACCACAATATTCATCCAAATGCCAGGCTTTTTCGTGCCAGTCCACAGGGTGCAGCACTCGGTTCCCAAGATGTTGCGCAAGTCGCGACAGAAGCAATCCGCGCCGTGAATCAGATTCAAGCGCATCGAGCTGGCGTGCGGGTGTGCCGGCTACTAGGAAGAACAGGTGCCCAGGGCCTCCGGGCGATGAACAATCGAACACACCGCACGCAGGATCGTCAAGCACGAGAAACTCCCCGCCCAGGCCCTCACGCCAGAAGGGTTTCTCGAAAACAGCTATGGCTTTGTAGACGACGCCCATGCGGGTGTTCTTTTGCAGCAAGATGCGTTCGGGCGGCATCGGCGGATCAAACGTAATGTTTTCTAACATTGGCGGTGGAACCGTGATTATGACTTTCCTACCGTAGAACTGTCGGCCTGACGCTGTGCACACAGTCACTTTATCACTTTCACTTTGGGACACACTTGTGACCGACATGCCGGTCAAAATTTTCCCAGAGAGCTCGCTTGCTAACATGGAAGTAGTGATGCCCATAGATTCCACAACCAAACAGTCTTGAGCTCCACCTTCGGTTCCTAACATGGTCATTAGCCCCCCAGATAGAGGAATCGCGTTTGCAAAGCCATAGACCGAATAAAGGCTCAATTCCGCGGTGGAGGATACTTCAACGAGGAGACGAAGCAGTCGACGAGCAATTTCTGATGGGACGAATGTTGCAATGGCTCTGTCCACTGAGAGTTCGATCCAGCTCTGCGGAACATAGATCCTACTGGCTATCTCGAGGAAGATGAGATAGATAATCGCAAGAAGCACCGACGGAGAAAAGAGAGACACAGTGCGACCTTCGTGAACAACCGTCGGTAAACCCTGCGAGAACGTCTGGTATATCGTGCCTCTCTCCTTGTTCACTAGAGAAGTGATGCGATGGTGTCCGTGCCCAATCCATTGTCCTCCCAGATCCAGATTTGATCCGAGCTTGGTGTTGGTTGAATTCACTCTACCGCCTATATTGGGTGATGCCTCGAGTACGATGACATCAATGCCCTGACGATTCAATTCCGAAGCAGCTGTGAGACCCGACAATCCGGCTCCAATAATAATCACCTACGCACGATCATCCTCAGCCATGGCGCCAGAGGATAGGAGCTGTTTGGAAACTACTCTAGGCAATGTCAGGGACGAAGAGGTGATGAGAAGCGTGAGGCCACAAATTGAGTCGCCATCAGGGGGGCACAGTGGTCTTATAGACTTAAGATTGCGGTGCGAATTACTTAACGGGCAAATTCACACTGCCCACCTAGCAACAAGGCGAATCAGAGACCGTAACGCAGGTCGGCTTGAGACGAGATGACGCCGTAGAGTGGGTCTTACGGAGTCATCGCGGCCTCCAGCCAATGGTATTCCGACGCCCTTATCTGCAGCCGCGCTTATCGGACTCAAGCCTCCCGGGCTTTCAACCCTAAAAGGTGCAAGATGCTTGCTGTAATTCTCGTGAAATTGTTTCTTAACCCCTGGCTCATCTTTAGTTTTGTACACAGCGGCTCTCATGGGCTAATACGACCATTAAAAAAACATTCAAGCAATCTCATCATATACATGTGGACATCTTGCCCATGGTGGTGACTATAGAGTATAGATGATCCTCAACCCTGTGATTCTCCTCACTCGTTTATTAAGCACGTATTACTCCTTCGTTTGAGTGGGGATTAGAAGTCAAGGAGGTTATCCAGAAGGCATATACACCAGCTAAGAGGCTGGCCTATCATGAGAGCTTGATACATCGATGAATTTGACAAATAGCTCGCATATCATGCTCGCTGAATCGTCTTTCTTCGATCCAATGGTCAATTTATCAATCAGAGTACTAAAGAAAGAGGAGATCTCCCGGTATTATGCTCTTGGCTTGTCTATGAGCTCGACAAATTGTTAAAGTGGAATAATCCGGACTTGTAAATCCAAATGTTTCTACTAGATAGGATGGTACTTTCACAACCACCCGCTGAGCATCTGTCACGTTCCATGCATACCATAACACTAACACTTAAGCCGTAGTAGACTCAAGCTCGACGTGGTCCGTATCAATCTGCTTCTCATTCTTGAGATCCTCCAACACCTCAACGCCAGCAAGACCAAGACTCTCATTGATCCGCATCATACGCAGACGATCCGCTTCCGCGATGCTATTTGAATCACCGCCGAAGAAGACATCTAACTCTTCAAGTGTCTTGTCCTTGGTCTCCGGGGCAAACTTCCAAATGAACAGACCGCCCAAAGCACTGAAGATGGCAAAGAAGATATAAGTGCCATATTTCATTGTATCCAGCATATCCTTCGTGGTAAGACCGATAATAAAGTTAAACATCCAGTTCGTGGAGGCGACGAGCGAGACACCGCGAGAGCGTTGACTATTGGGGAATATTTCCTGGGCTAATACCCAAGCAACGGGTCCTGTTCAATCAAGTGTTAGCTGGAGGAGACACATGAGCTGCTGATGTGGTAGACATACCCCAGGAGTAAGCAAAGTTGACAGCAAAGAGCCAGATGAAAGCGATGGCAACCCAGCCTTGCGGGGTGGCGAGCCCCTCGTGCAAGTCCCACTTGGGCTCATATATACCCTCCACAATGGCGACAATAATATGGCAAAGGAACATTCCGGTAGCACCGGCAATGAGGAACGTCTTGCGGCCGAACTTGTCGAGGTAGAGGACGGTGGGTAGTGTGAAGATAATTTGCAGAATACCAGTCACACCAGTGGCGAGAAGGGTTGTCTTCGTAGACGAGAAACCAAACTAAGAAAGAAGAAAGAAAATGAGTTAGCGGCATTCCACCAAGCCAAATCAAAATGAAGTCAGGGAAAGACCAGTCACTCACGGAAGAGAAAATTTGGGGCGCGTAGTAGAGCACAGCGTTGATACCAGTGAACTGCTGGAAAATCATCATACCGCAACCGAGTGTGAGGCGCTTGAACATGTTGGGGGCAAACAGAGCTTTCCAGGGAGCCATGATACCTCCAGCTCCAACTACCTCACTCTCAGTCTCCTCATCAAACATGACAGCAGCCTTGATCTCAAGGTACTCCGCGCGAACAAGTGGATCATTCACAGGGAGACGACGCAACCTAGAGATGGACTCCTTGGCTTCTTCATCACGGTGCTTCATCATCAACCAACGCGGTGAGAATGGGAAGAAAAAGAGTCCAAAGAAGAGAATCCAAGCGGGAATAATCTGCAAAGCCAAAGGAAGCCTCCACGCGATGGTCTTCTGGCCCATGCAAGTGTGACCGTTGTTCTGAGCAGCATTGTACGCCCCATCCAGGTAAGGATCCGAGATTCCCTCTGGGTTACAGGTGTTGCCACCAACGAACTGCATGCCATAGTCAAGCCAGAAAGAAATAGCAGTGCCGATAGTGATTGACAGCTGTTGCAGGGAGACAAGGGATCCACGCAGCTCAGGAGGGGCAATCTCAGCTTGATACAGCGGGATGACCATACTGAACATACCGATCCCCACACCACCGATGATTCTGCCGGCGAAGAAGTAGGCAGGATTCTGTGCACCAGCCTGTAGACCAGTACCCAGGGTGAAGATGATGACGGCCACCATCATGGCATACTTACGCGAGATACGATCTGCGAGAATACCGTTGATCAAAGCGCCGGCCCAGGCACCAAGCTCGAGGGCCGACACCAACCAGCCCTGGATCGTGGATCCCATGAACGTGGGAAAGTGGTTTTGGAAGTTCTCCATGACAAGAATGGGACCCATCACACCCTGATCGTATCCATACATGATACAACCTAGGGAGGCAAACAAACAAGTGAAGAAGACATATGGGTTTGAAATAAAACCTTTGAGACCGTGGGGTTTCTCTGCGTTGGCACGGCCAACTACAGACTGACTGATTGCCATATTGAAACAAAGCTAGGGCCCGAGGAAGAATAGAAAAATGAGATCCAATGAAAGAAGAAAAATGGGCTCACCAGGTGGATTATATAGCGCTGGCGTCATTCCCAGCTTCAAACACTTTTCTCCTTTTCCGTCCATTCTGGGGTTAGAAATCACAAGGGCCTTTCCCCGGAATAGACGACACAGTGCGAAGCCCATGTCTAGGCCTGCTCGATCATTCGATGCCATATGCCGCTGAAAGCCGCCAACAGCACACTAGGACCAAAGTCGACAGCTAGACCGACGTTCGGAAATGACATGATCTGAAAATATGGCAATGCATACAAATTGGTTGGACACTAAGGTGCGCCACAAACTAAAAGAAGCCTCAAGCCAGCAGGCTCGGCGTTGACTGGGCACCTTGGATGCGCCATTCTCAGAGAACAAGCCTCCGGGCTCGAGAGCGCCATAGCTTGGCGCCATTGGGTGGTGATTTGCTATCCGAGTGTCAGCCAGGATCATTTTCCACTATCGGTTCTCCCCCACTGCATCGGGCGATATTTAGTGCTTACCGCACTGACAAATTAAATGCAACCAGGAGCAAGATGACCCCTGCAAACCCGACAATTGACCGATGCGAGTCACTAGGATCATATTCTTGATTGATCCAATATGACTCAAAAGCCAGTCGACGACGAGGAAGAGAGAGGGAATAGAGGTGCAGGAGTCGGCTACTCTTCGGATTTGCCATTTTCAATATCAATTAAGAAGCCCTAGTTCTAGTTCTCGTTCAAAAGTGGTTTGTTTCAGGTGCTACTTGCTACAACGGTATCATTCTAGAACACAGGATACATAATTTGCTCGCCACAAGGCGCTGTATCCCCACATCCGTTTACAGATTGGCTGACTTCTGGCTTCTAGCCTCCGGTTGTAAAGAAAAAACAAAACTTAAATGCTGCCATCACCAATTCTGCATAATCGGACTCTATTTCAGCATTGGCTTGGCTTGGGATTGGCTAGAATCCTCGGAGAATTGAGCGGAACGCGTGGTCTTCCTCGATTTCCACAGGTTTGTCACTTTGCCAGTTCCAAATGTTCGGTGAGTCGTCAGATTCCGGAAATAAGGTCTGGGGTGTCCACTTAGGTTCTGATAGGCTGACGCTTTGAGGCTTTTCTCGAATTCTCGAGCTGGCTTCCGACTCTTCCGGTACAATGCCGGGGTATGTGGATACGGCTGGGATGCCCCATGGGGTCTCGCCTATCTAGAAGGACCAATGGATATCTGCAGCTTTCTCATCTCCCCAAGTTGGGTTTAGCCGAATAGATTAACGAAGGAGTACCACCACTTCTGAGTGAAGCTCTGTAATTTGAAAATGATCTCAATACCCCGTCTTCTCGTATATTTCAGTGTGATGTGTAAATTCAATTTAGTATTTATGGCTTATCAATTGTAATATTGAAATATCACCACAATATAATGGCTAATCACGGAGCTCAAACATAGAGTAATTAATTTTTCAGAATGTTTGCATTGTTTGGTGCTAAGTGGGCTTAGTGGGCCCGGGTCCGGGCCCAAAGCCCAGCCCATTTGCGGGTTGGGTTGGGCTACGGGCTTTGTGGGCTTTGCGGAAGTCTAAGATTCATACCTCTACACCTTTCTTTTGTTGGTTTATCACTGTATATCCTTTGTTTTTCCCTCTTTGATCTATCAAATAACTCGGCCGCTTATGCGGACTCCCTTCTTGACGCATAGGGTGACAAGCACTACATGTCTTCTGGGATGTCTATTCCCCTTGCCATTTGCTTCTGGCCAGAAAGACGAAAATGCGGTAAAGCACTGCTTCTAATGATGGGAATATTCTCGAATATCAATATCACAAAGAAGATTCACTTCTCTCGGAATACTTTACTCATTCTTGATCTAAGGACGTGGATTTGTCTTTGTTGCCTCGAGTTACCAGCGCATCATAGTAATTCTCAAGTCCAGATAAAGAATGTGCACAAAGAGATTATATCATTTTAAGTGGATTGAGTGATTGAGGAGATAAAGAGTCATTGACAATGTGCATTGTACATTAATATTTTAATAATACTCTTAGATTTTGACAATGACCAATTTCCTAGAGTTCTTTATTGTCGAATACAATCTCCAGGTCTTTATAGCCGGACCTCAAAAGCTACGTATATAAACATCTTTCCCCTAAAATCCATATATGTATTAAGCTTCCTGCCGCCCTCCTACTATAGTATTTTGACTCTACGTTTCACAATTCCCTTAACCTAGTGGTCAAGTACAACTTACAGTATATTATTTCCTGCCTCGGCATAAAGAACACTTCGAGAATCATGTCAGCTAATTACAGCTGGCAGGCTGTTCACCCGGTCTACGGAGTACCCATTTCCGTCGTGGAAGCCACTGAGCAACCTGTAATCCGCTGCGACGTTCGTCAGAGGCACAACCTTCCTTCTAGATCATGGGCGGTTCGTATCTCTACATGGATCAACACCAACTATTTCTTATGGTCTTTATGCGCCGGCCTCGCCGACTATCGCTCTGACGAGGAATGGACGAATACCTTCCAGACCCACTACCAGGATACCTGGGATGAGATTCAAGCTAGAGTCCAGGAGATTGATGGGCCTTACAGGTTCGGCATACCCATTCCGATGCCTCCAGTCAAGAAGGCTGTGGTTATTCATCACCCCGAGAGCGGCCCTGCAGAGACATTCACGATTGGGCCCGAGGCTCGTCCGTCTCATCTGATCCCTCGGGTCACTAGTATGCCTCGGGATGCTGTATGGGGTCTCTTGCGCTTTGTGACTGGACGTCAATCTTCTGTGCCTGATCAATTTGATGTAGTACTTGATATTTCCTCACCGGCGTTGTCGCGCCCTGTAGGTACCCAGATTAAGCAGAGCTTGGCTAGAAAGCGAGTATCCCAAGGTGACTCGAAGAATGATGTGGTAGATACATACTACCATTTTGGAAATTGAGATTGACAATAACATAAGTACCATGTCTTGTTTTATACAGATTTTATAATGTAAATAGCTTTTGTACTCTCGATGACAACATACACTTTCTTTCGGATCAGCAGGTATCCAGACATCATGAGTTCACAACATGATAAGATCATAACACTCACTGGAATATAATATGGGTTTTATAATAGCTACATAGACTTATAAGCCATTCTACAACTCGTTCTGTAAGCAAATGTATGAGAGCTTTAGATTAGGCGCTTAGCATAATTACTGTTTGAGCGGGTTTTCAGAAGCTCGTCTCTTCTATCTGGTATGCTTAGGAGTAACTTCTTCGAAGGCTGTGGAAATATTGCTTCGCAAAGGCTGAGATATCTCGTCGCTCGCTTTCTCTGTCTTTTCTCATCCTCGGTATGAGAAATCGCTCTTCGTGACGCCATGATAGATGGAGGAAAGCCGTGGCCCCCAAGAAATGGATCAATGACAAAACAATGTGCCCCCAAGCAATTTGCAGTGTTTTCATACCGCTTGGTGGTCCCACAAAGAAGGTTGATAATGGAGCGCAGGTGAGGGCTTGCTCATTACGAAATAGCAATGTATATCTTATGTATCTAGAACTACCCAATATAGACCATGCGATACATACAAGAAGTCCAATGCAAGGGATAGGCGCTCACATGACTGTAATATGTTTGAACCTCACCGCTCCACAACCAGCTTCCAAACTCAGCGCAAGATTCTCTCCATTTTTCAGTTTCCTGAGCAATATCACCTGCTATGGAGGAAGGAAATACTTGGACGAGCCTATTTTTCTCAGGCAACTATCCAAAGATTCTGGAAACGAACGAACTTCCGGGCAACCAGTTTCGACCTTTTGGCCCCGAAGACGGCGCTGAAGACGACAACTGGAACCTAGGACGTAAGGTCGACATATCAAGAAACCCGGATCCAAAAACTATTCAGGTGTTTTGGCTTCGAATAAAAGGACGTTCAAAATACATAGCCAAAGTCGTAAGTGACGACGATAAATATCTCTATGAGTGCTGCAAATTAACGATTGATCAGTTTCCTGGCTATTCTAAGGAAGATGCCAAGATACAGCTCTGTCGTATTAACATACGGCCGACTACGGAAATTATAGATGATGCTATATACAACTTCGATAGATTTTACCGGGAGGCTCGGGCATATAGCCACATTGACATATTATGTTCCGTCCGTGAACGAATCTATTTCCCACAATTCCATGGAGTAATCACCAATATGTCGAGATCTCGATTTTCTTCTGGGTATTGCCACGAGCGAGCGGTTGTGCTAGAACCAATCAAACCGGCCTTATCCTCTCGGCGTGTTCTTGTTGAACATGTTGAAGATGCTAATATCGTCTCCATGAGCTTCCTCGCTATTCTTGAAACGCTATCCCTTGAATTTTTCACCGCCCCTGAAATTATCCCTCTGAGTCCATTTGAGCAGGATTGGTATCATTCTTTAATGAAAGACCGACTTCGTCGCCTGAATACTTTACATCGAATTGGCATAACCCATGGCGACATCCATGATCATCACTTTCGACTTCCTAATGATATTTACGATACAGTTCTATTAGACTTCTCCGAAGCCTACACTTTCTCTAAGAAACAGCCTTTTCGGGTGAACCACGGGAGACCTCGGCCTTTGAGCGCTATATCTGAGGGTGAACGTGGCCGTGTCATTCATCATATCCGTGATCGGTAAGAAGACTTCTAAGATTTATCGCTTGTATCATTAGTAATATATATTCAGAGCTATCTCACGAGACCTTCGCTCCTATCTTATTCGTGATGCCGACTCTAAACACACATCTTCTCCTGATAACACAGCCTGCGTTGATAACGCGCTCTGGCAGTTTCCCGACAAAGAAATCGAATTGTTAGAATTGATCATGTTAAAAGTTTCCTTCCGCCCAGATGGTCAGTTATCGTGGATCCCATATCCTAGATGTTGATCATTAAATATACTAGGCTTTTCGATGCCGACCTTGAACTCTATCTTCCCTTTTCTGGAAGCCGTGTGCCCAGGATCTGACATCTGCTGGCATATTCGTCGAGCTAGGCTTTTATGTCACTATAAATCAGTTTGGGCGGTCTTTCGCGACGATCAACCCGCAATAATTTTTGATTGTGAGCCGCAATTTGGGACAATTGAGACGATGAAGGATTCCCGCTTCATGCTTTGCTTAATACCGAATTCGTGGATCGAGTCATTGACAAAACCTGGTTTTTCCGGATTTCACAAGCTACGGACATTCTGCTCAAGTTTTCTTTCGGCCAAAAGCCCTGGGGCAATCCTCGAACTAAGCGAGTTTTGGAAAGAAGCGGAGAGTACTGAAATGTGGACTAAGGAATCATGAACGATGAAAATTTTGCCTGAGACAGGAAGTCCCAGATCAAACCCCAGTAGATGCATGTTAGCACGGGCGACAGTAGACCCATGATGGACATGCATATGATATGAGATCAGAGAGACAACGTTGGTCAAATCTTTTGCTGCAGCCCCCTTCTTCGAATTTCCTAGTAGTGTGGAGAGGAACAACAGCTCGAGTGCTTTTTAAGCCACAGTTGGAGGGTGTCGTATTTGAAATCACTCCATTCTCTTCTAGAAGCTATCTATGTATTGATATCTATGACTCCTAGCTAGTCCAACGATCACGGCATGAGGGTTCCGCATGAATGAGAAGACTTCAGGAACTGCTGAAATATTGTATGAGCTTTATGAACACTTGACACACCAACTTGGATTTGACAGTGCGATAAGCAACATCCGATCACAAAAATACTTCAAAGAAGGTACAAAGTAGATACAAAGTAAGGCGCCTCTGCATTTGCATAATAGAACGGGGAAACCCTAAGGCAAGGAGGAAAAAACCCATCCTGAGGCGAATGTCCAAAATGATAAGCAAATATGATGCAAGCTTTCTAGCTTGAAGGAATGTGGGCCCCAAGGTCCTTCAGATAGTTCTTACACTTCTCTGTGCAATTCTCAAATTTTCTGGGGCCTTGACTATGAATCTCGTCGCCAGTAAATTTCGCAGTGGTATTGCCGACTCCAGTCAGTTCCGTTTCACTACTGGCATAATCTTTGGAATGAATCTCAACAAAGCCATCCACGTAGGTTTCGTGGTAATTACCTCGGCCTCCAACCAGATTTCGTGTATCCCATGCATAATTGATGAACCACTTGTGGGTCTTGAATCGGTAGACCTTCTGATACAAGTAGACAGTTGTACGCGGCGGGACAGGTAGCTTAATACTGATTTCTTCGCTGTCGGTCGTCTCCGAGGAGCTAAATGTTTTCTTGGAGCCCCCGATCCCAATAGTGATTCCCTCAAAAGCTGCACCAAGGCTCCAGTTTGCCTCCTCTTCTTTGCCTTTCGTGATCTTGAGCTCGGTCGTAAAGGTCGCGTCGAGTTCATCTTCGACTGATGTATCATTGTTCAGGGATTGTACCATCGCCCAATAATACCCATCGCACATCATATCAGTGACGGCGGACAGATATTCATCCGACTTGGTGTAGAGTCGGGATTCTTCTTGGTGTACAAGTGGAGTCCCACTGACATTGTACTCCGCGTGGTCATACCCATCCTTCAAGGGATCCTTTTCCATTGTGTTTTCCTTGATAGTCAGTTTTCATTATTTTCAATTGGGACGGCGACTTACTAGAAGTGCGAGGCTTCAAGACTTGTTTTTAAATATGGTAAAAGAAGACTTTATTTGCTAGCCCGGTTCAGCTATTAGATTGAGTGTTGTGTCCCTTACAATCCCCGGGATTTCTGGTGGTTTTATATGCAAACTTTCGATGATTGTTTGTGGCTCATCAGCTAGTACATCATATGGGCTAGTATATCATATCACAAAGGGTATCACAAGCAGAAATGACGCCATGATTACCGCCGATAATGGGCCCAAACATACATTAGGCAACAGAGCACTGATCTTAAAGCAACTTTAACGGAGCCAGGGCCACCAAGACATCTTTAGGGGTTACGCTGTAGAATAGTTCATTAGTCTATACCGAAATGCAACACTATGCGGTTGCAGCTATGCTGACTCTTGTGGTAAATAGTTGTGAATGATTGCTCAACTGGAAACAGAAACATCTACTACTACGCAGTCATCTACACGGGGTCAAAGATCATCGCGCAGGCTAGGGATATGAGTGAGGCCAGCTCAACAAATTAAATCGGACATCTATTTATTCTTCGAAAGCTTTCTCTCTAAAAAATACCCGGCGATCTAAATTGCATGTTCAATGGCTATGGCAAGCTATGGTTGTACAAATAGCGCACGGATGAATGATTCCAACGCCTGCGACGCGCTGGGGACGTCTTCTACGGGGTTTATGACTAGGTAATCTACAAACACGATCAATCATGAACTCATTTTCACTCAACACTCATTGTTATTTGCTACCTCAAATCGTTGAATACATGCATAAAATGTCCTAAGAAAAAAGAACTACGCGGTCCTGGACGTAATATATCATTGGCTATGTTGGAGGTAATGCCATTCTACATACAGTGCTTGGACCGACTTCAAGCTCATGATACGTACGAAGGGGTATAGCAACTGCTACTTAGTTTCAATTAAAATGCGAATTTCGGCCTATGTGTTGGTTAGATCCAGCAGAAGCTTTAAGATACTTGAATCACCATTACAGACCAATACTCTCTCATTCTTCCCTCTCCTTCATATATCTTTACTACTGTTGTGCTCGCCGTCACCCCTGCTATAAGCCCCCTTTCGGCTCTACCTTTGAGAAGAATAGTGATCTCTTCTCTGTGTGGTTTAAGATCGATGGGCCTATAGATATATCGCGGGTAAGGTAAGATGGAAGAGCTTATATGGTTGGAATGGCTTTAACGCCTGAGGATATATTAGATAGGGGTTGATTTGAGCACAGCTTCATTTAAAATACCCTGTGATGAGCGGTGACGAAAGCGGTTGAGGATTAGGCATGATGCAGCAATACATATTTCAATTGAAACTGAACAGAGGCCGCTATACCGCTTTACAGGTACATATATTGTATCTTCCACTTGGCTGCATTAGGAAGCTAGTTTGCACCGTCGTAATTTATGACTCGTTCTCCAGTGGACGGTGTGTGTCATTGTCTAAGATAAAATAAGTTTTCTGCATTCCTCAGGTTTATTCATTTTTGAGATAAATCGTACTAGTTAGCTAAGTCTCGTCATTATTTCGATCCGTCTCCACTAAGCCTAGGGATCGATGCAAGAAGCTGAATTGTCTTCACATTACTATTCTCCAACAGTGACAACGAAAGGAAGGAGGGCTTTGGCGGTAGTTATCAACCCTTCCTCTCACTACTCCTTGTATATGGCTCACTATCTATCCGATGACAGCATAACTAAAGGATAAGAGTGTTCATTGATCTAAAATATTTGCCGTATAGAAACAATGGATATTATATGATTTTTGTGTTATGTTCCTGTATCCTGAGCACTAAAAGTATATACGAAAATGTGCGCCTTGGGGCAACGACGACTAGTTTCTGTTACACCGAAAAGACAGTGCTTTTAGATATTGCGATGCTGCTTAGAATGCAATAAAGATTCCATGCATCATCCCTTGGTGGTCTCATACGGACGCAAAAAGTGGTGAGTTATAGACATTCTTGCTCATTCTAAGGCACAAACCTCGGCAACTATTACTCTGGATATGATTTCCATTGCTAGGAAATTTACCGGTTGGTCTCTAAATGTGTCAGGTGGTGAAAATAAAAGTTAAGCATTGAATTTAACCTCTGATTGAGCCCTGGCCGATTGACGCGGAGCGGCGGAATGTGTCGCTCTCCCGAGAACCATCAAGTTTTGATACACTTCGCATTCGTCCCTTGCCACGATATCCCTTAATTTAGGAATGAGAAAGCATGAACAAGCCATCTGGGGACTCGGACGCGTTGTGGCTTATTGATAGATCTTGTGGTGTTCAACGCAGCATGGCATCAGCATTCCACAGAATTATTGTCCGATTCCTATCGTTTCTGATTTGCACTGCATGATAAATATTGAATATAATTATTTTTAGGTCCTGTGGTTGTAGTAACATTGATAATGGCGCTTCGTCGAACACTAGATCAGGGATAAATTCTCTAAAATAAGTGCTATAGGAGCTGGAGAAATTTATAGCAGCTCTATATGATGTACACAGTTTTACCATCTAGAATTGTGTGCAAGGTGTATAGAAAAAGCTCTGAGACGTGGTACGATAGCCGAAAGCCCCCTCGTCCTCTGGAAAGCTTTAAAAGAAGGCATAAGTGTCTGACAGTAATGTCAGCTCGCCAATTCAATAGCATCCAAACGCTCATCATCGTGGCACGAGCAAAGAGCAAAATGAGTGAGACTAGACTTCATCGCTCACCGGCACCGTCAAGGGGGTGCTTGGGGGTCTTGATATAGGTATGCGAGCAAGTATCGGACTGTCACGCCTTGAAGTATAACCCGGGAGACTGTCTTCACATTCGGCGTATGCAACGGGTGTTGTCTTTGAGAACTGCGCGATCATGGATTACCTGGCTGGTCTTTTAGATAGTAACGGCAGCTGCCATATGTACCGGAGAATGATACACATGCTGACTATTTGTCTAAATAAATAGGTCATGTTCTTCATTTGATGTAAGCTCGCCGTTCTGTCTTTAGGTTTTTCAACTCCGGTTTTAGTTGTATGGGTATTCAGTTTCCCGATTTGTATTTCTTTATCCTATGGCACTAATCGGGCTTTTCTGATGAAAAGTGCGAGAAGAGGACAGTTCACTGGCGAGAGAATGAGGAATTGTGAAATGGTTCCAACAGTCTGTGACCCCATAACTAGGGTACGCGTGAAAAGATTGTAGACTACAGGATTGATATATGTAGGCATTTATGTCGTGACCATTGAGAGATGTATATCGATTACATTTCTCAACAAGACTCAGATAACACATAACATTGGAATTAGAGATCATTGGGCAATGGAGCGACGCACCTTCTTGATACAAATAGCCAATATCAGTGTAAAAAGTCAAACAATCATGTTGGAATGCAGCGAGCCATCCTACATGTAGTCGCAAGCACACAAAATTCTAAGACACAATATCTGATCAATTTCCAAACATACGACCCATACAACAGGAAGAAGTGGTCAGTGTATCTTTATCCTAAGTGAGAAGTAGTTTCATTGAATCAGTCAGTCTAAGCACAGCGCCGGAGACGTGTCCCCTCAGATCGAATCCATAGTAGATGCACGAACAATTAATACGGGTGGCAACAGACGAGGCTGAATGGTACATGACAAATGCGGATAAAACAAGCAAAGCTAATAAGCATGAGGCAAATAAGAGCAAGAGAAAGAGAAAAGCCAAAGCGATGGGCCCAGGCGTTGACGATGTCAGACGCGCCGAAAGACGGAAATTTATGTATACTCTTCAGGTCATGTCGGCATGGGTTGACATCGTCGATGTGGCGGGTATGTATGCAGGATAATGTATGTGTTGCTCGTGAAGGCGTTTCAAGTGGCCGGAGGGGATTAACCATTTCAATTCAGGGCTCGGGCTCTTATTTTCTGTATCCTACTAATTTGTTCTGATGGGCAGTTCCAATGCATGCGCCCCCGGAACTGTTCCTTGGCGGAAGAGAGGTTGTCCGGTACAGCTGTTCTGCGTGTTCTGCACAGCTGCACTCGTAAGGATAGTAAGGAAGACGGAGAAGGAAATCGAGCGACAAGTGGGTATCATAATGAGGCTGTTTTCGAATGACGCAAGATTAATGGATGTCAAAAGGCGCCAAACGACAGAAGAGAAAGAAAGGGTAGGCGTTCAAAATTGTCGTTCCAAAGTTAGTCGGGGTTGGTAAGCTAGAAATCACACAGTTAGCGATCGTGACGCCAGTATCCACGTTGCAATGCTCAACTCACCCGAAGAACAGGACGCGAGTAGTCTTCATTATCTTGCAGCGAAACACTGCTGTCTCGAGGACCGTTCGGGTAGAGAGTTGCGTTCGTCTTCATTCGCCCATCGGTGAATGTTGTGCCCGAACGTGCGGGAATAGAGCCACCGGCACCGGCTTCTCCATTGCCCCGTGGGAAGAGACCTCCCATGAAGCTCGATCCTCTGCTGGTTCTGTCGTCGGTCATCTCCTGACTGGGGATGGGGCTAACGGCACGAGCGCGTTTGCGGTAGAAGAAGATCATGAAGATGAGAGCACCAATTAGGGCGAGACCTCCAAGGACACCAACCACAATGCCTGCGATAGAACCTCCGCTCAATTTCGAGCTGTTGGCAGTGCTGGCGTTGGCCGATGCGGAATCAGCGCTGGCGCCCGTCGTCGGACTTGAGCCAGCAACGGTAATTGTCCTCACTTCACCGCCAGAGTTGGTCTGCACTGAGACACTTTCCGAGGTAGTAGTTGTTTTCTTATCCGACGCAGTTGACTAGGATTTAATGTTAGCCAAGTGTGTCATTTTATCAACCCGGTTGTGCTGAGGATACAGTTTGTGAAGTCGAGACGGAAGAATCCGAGGCAGTTACAGTGACAGTTTCAGGCTGATCGCTGGTACTTTCCTATCCTCTAGATTAGAGCCACAAGCCAAGAAAGAGTGGTACACCCAATCGTGCTGCATAGGCTGGCGGGAGAGTCATCGATTCAATAGAAAAAAGAAAGCAAAAAGACCGCGGTCGAAAAACAAAAAAAAAGGGTGGCTTACCGAGGTTGAGCTTGAAGTTGAGCTTGATTCCGACGACGAAGTAGTTTTTGTAGTGGATGTACCACCGGCTGTGCTGGTCACATCGTTGTTGGGGATCTCCACGTAGGCGAACACCCCTTTGGATGCACTTCCACAACTGTCCGAGGGATACCCCGGGCACGCAGTATCACAGTCGGAGGATTCTGATTGCGAGCCCTCAGAGGGAGCAACATTCGAGCACCAGCATTTCTTCCCTTGGATGATACCGAGGGCATAATTGGCGCAAGTTATTCTACATGCTCCATTTGATTGAAATATGTCGCTGACTGTAGAGAGTCAGTGATATGGCTAAATCTAAGAAAGAATATTGCGGTCCTCACCTGATTTGAAAGAAGAACCAGTGTTGGTCGAAGCACAGTACGCGAGGCTGGATGCAGCCGACGCGAATGGCGCGAGAGCAAAAATTGACACCACCACCGCGGTCTTCATGATGGGTGTGCTCTATCGATTATTTCTTATCAAGCCCGATCGGCCGTTGATATTTGTGGGTTTCGTGATTTTCCTCCGTCCAAGTGTGAGGGTAAGGGTGCAAGAGTTCGCAGGCGCAGAGTGAAGATCGAAATTGGCTGTGTGTGGGCCGACCGAGGTGAATTGTCGATCACCCAGACTTCGGTCGTGTCTGGACGAGGAATTCGATATCTGGCAAGTCGATCGAGTAGGCCCCAATTGTTGTTTGTTGATCCCCCACTAAACACTGAAAAAGGTCGTGTGCTGTTCCGTGTCAATAACACATTGTCTCTCGGTCGATGTCTCCGAGGGCTAGGCAACAAAAATCACAAGAAAAGAAAGAAAGAGAATGACGGTGGGAGAGCGAATGTGCAGTCGAAAGTCAAGAGAGAGAAAGGTGAAGAGGAGAAGGGGGATCTCCACAGTCACGGGCCTATCCTACGCTGTACACTTATCCTCATCGGAGTATGTCGAGCTTCCCGGCATACCCGGTGGAGACTGATTTTCCTTTTATGGGTGCAATTATTCAATCCATGATAGTTGTTTTAAGAGAGCCCATACGAGGCTATCCTCCATTCCAGATGTGTCTATCAAAAGCCATATATTGTGATCAACCGGGGATCATAGAATAATATATCGAGTGTACGGAGTAGCCGTCTGACACGTAGAACAGCCTACGGTTTATTGACTTTTTTCCTAAAGCTACTTGCTCCACTGGATCTCCCGACTGGCAGACCAGATTGTCTGGTACCAAGGAAACATTCCACCCTTCATACCTAGGTACCTCTCTCTTTGCCCAGTTTGACCTACAACAATATATTGTATACAGTGCACCTATCTATGTTGTAGCTCGATTCATGGTCTTATCCGAAACAGACATCGTTATGACCAGTATGCCGTAGCGTAATTGGAGACGTAATCAAGTGGAGATTCCGTTCCAACTTTTTTGTGTGCGTCCGGTTTGGATTCGGAATTATGATTTATGTACATATAAAAGCTCTGTGAGAACCTTCCAGACCCAACTCCAAGTCCCAATGTTTGGCTTCACTTGAACTGATACATGGGGCTGGATTAAATTATCAGTTAAAGTATTCCAAGCTTAATTCGCGACGGAGTACTCCGTATGGAGTACAAAATAGCCAGTTGTCAACTTGGAACGTACCTTGCAACAGGGTGCTGGGGCAGTGTAACACATGGAATTCGGCAATTGGATTTTGTACGCAGGACACCGAAGAGTCATGCTTCCAGACGATCAACTTGAGAGATCACTATGATTTGCCGGATCGAAGCGAGACTTCCATGATGAAACGGGCTTAGTATTAAGTACCGACCACCCCCGTCCCCCGTACAAAGTACGGCTCTTTTCCCTCACGCTATTTGGACAAAGGACTTTGGAATCTGATTCCGGTCTGATGCAACATATCGAAACACCCATTGGAAATTGAACCCCTTTTTTCAAGAGGTTCTCTACTCCGTAGATTTAGAAGTATAGTCATTCTCATCTCCCTAGTGGAGAATCTCCACACCGAAGATTGTAAAAAACGAAAACTTGGTACGATCTTGAAATTTCAGGTTTATCAAAGTCCAAGTTGGAATTTTCCGGAGATTTTACCCAACTAGAATCTAACTGGTTGGGACCTTTCATAGGACACTTTCCCAGCCCTTAATACAATATGTGCGATCACATTCAATAATTTCTTCATAATCCATTTCTCAAGGCAAATATTCATCTCAAGATTGATCCATGCTTACGGAGTACTGAATATTGGGCAATGCCAAGGCAAGTCCTGGAGTGATGATGCTGTGGCCGTCGATATGCTCCGGTGGCTGAGACAAACCCACCAAGGGGAGCCCACGTAATCTCTGCCGTGCATTGATCAGGAATCAGGATTCTCCTTGGTTTTGCAGTACGGACTCTATCGATTCAAGACACAACGACGCTAAGGGGGAAATGATTCAATTATTGGAATTGTACCTGGTGGCTTGCAGGTGGCGTCCTGACTGAAACAAGCCTGCTCCGTTCCCGTACAGTGGCGATCACTCGCTGCAACCTGCATGAGGCATCTACGAAGCTGATGAGTCGAAGATTAACAATATGTGTTCCAAGATGAATCTACGAAGGATGTGAGTGTTCCACATTAATCAACATATTCATATCAAACAATCGTTACATAATACATCTGCGACATAAGAACCGGAAATCAACCGGTCTGTGCTGGACTGTACATGAAATGGGTTGGACTTGCACGCGCCATTTAGTTGTCATGTAAGAAGTCAAGGGATAGATGGCCAGTTTGAGACACCACATGATAAAAGCTTTCTGAACTTTCCGAACCCGAGGAACCTGTTGAACTCGCTGCACTCGATGCACTCGCTGGACTCGCTGGACTTGCCCCGTTTGTTGGATTTGCTGGATTCACCGCACTCACTGGACTTGCTGCACTCGCTGGACTTGCTCCGTTTGCCGGGTTTGCTGGACTCGCTGAACTCGCTGGGCTCGCTGCACTCACTAGACTTGCTGCACTTGCTGAACTCACTGGACTCGCTGCGCTCGCTGAACTCCCTAAGCTTCTCGAATCTTGGCTAACGTTGCGTGAACGGTTAATATCGGACCCTGGTAGGGGGCCAATCATCGATGCCCTGATATCCTCGACGTATTCTACTCCGGGGGAATCAGATGAAAACGGGGAATTGATCCAATCCAGAACCTCGTCCTCATTTTCCAGTTCGGCAGGCTGCTTCTGCTTCCCCTTCGTTTCAGTAGTCATGGATGAGCTGTCGTCGTAATCCTCGTCATTGTCATCAAAGAGACTGCCGGCAGCGGACAAAGAGATCAGTCGATTAAAATGCCACTGCATGTCCAGCAAGTCGAAATTTGGAAGTGGTCTCAGTACGGGGTCGTCCGTTGTCATTCTAAAGCGGTGGCCGGATTTAATGAGGCCATAAGATGGTTCACCTCGCACTCCGACAGCCACAACGAGTTTATCCACGCTGTCGACATTCTTGGAAGAGATAGGCAGCATGGTCAAATCAACCGCGTCGTGGAGAGTGTAGCCTGGCTTTGGCTGCCAGTAAAACTCGAGCTCCATTTCAGTCATATCCTCAGAGATCCAGACGGGGCGAAGGGCGAACAAACCGGATGTCCATGCAGACCGAATGTCTCTGCGAAGACAGATCAGATTAGAGCAATCATTGACAAAGCTCTGGGGCGAATATGGGTCGTTGAAAACAGCACGTCTCCATCGCTGAGTTCTGCTCTGTCCCCAGAACATATCCGCGAACCTCCAAATGGTAGGAGAAGACGGGTCATCCTGCAAGCGGGAGCTGATCAAGCTAGTTGGGAAGATTGGAACGGTTTGGTAGACCTTGCGGGTGCCGGTAATGACACACTTGTTTCCATCTCGCTCTCTGGCCGCATATATTGCCACAGGGGTAATATGTTGCCGCGGGCTGAACGTGGTAGGCGACAATGCTGTATCTAACTGGGAAGGAGAAGGTTTCAGCGTCCACATGAATGGAAGACCACAAGAGAGATCAGCCAAGATATCCAACATTCTCAGCGAAAGGTATGCGATTTGAATAAAGGATTCAAGCTTCTCGAGGTCGCACAGCTGAACAATGGCCCAGAATGGGACAGGGACTTCTTGATCTAACAGGGCTTTCTTGAGCCTGCGAATCATGATTCTTCGCTGGGTGGACTGAATATTAAAATTCTCGTCATTCACACGGATCACGGTGGGTGAGCGCCCCAGTTCCGAGGAGCTTAGGGTAGGCGTAGATACGTTTGACATCTTGATCACGTGGAGGCAGATCTGGATCTAGAAAGACGGTGAATGTTGCTGCTATCCGATCTGCACGTGGGCTTAGACGTGATAACGACAGAAGAGCGTTTGTTTTGATCTCCCCGTGTTTAAAAGGTCTGGAAAGCGCGCGTTCTCCTTCACATTCGGGGAAGGAGCCTCTGGGCTTCATTCAAGGATATCACAATACATACAAAACGTCGATGGTACTTTCCCGGAAAATCATTCAATCATCATAGGTCATAAAACCACATAAAGGAAGTAGGTAATACTACCTCCGAGCGTTCATCCATTCTCGATCTCGGATATCTCGCATACGCTTCTCTATCATCCGAGCCCGCAGAGGCATCCCCATCCCAGGTCTGATATGGGGTGTGATATCCGGCACAGAGTTCCGCTCCCGCTGGATATCCCTAATACGTCTACGACGAGCACTTCGAATCTCGTCAGACAATTCAACAAGCTCATCTATGTCATCCTGTGGCCAGAACGAGTTAGAACCCCAACAAAGCAATCTGTTCGGATGATACATACCGACTCGAGGTACGAGAAGATATAGTAGGACCCCCTCGTTTCTTCATACTCGAATCCCATGCGTTCAATGGCTTCCTTCACCACCAGCTTCTTGGATATTTCTGTCCACCGGTCGTTTCGCGTCTCCTCCGGTTCTGTGACATGCTGGGCAACTCGACCTACTTTGACTTCATCGACTGACACATGACGAGGTTCGACCTCAACAATGTCCAGGGCTCCGGTCATTTCAATCGCGTCATCTTGTGATGGAGCATGCACCACAGACCAGTCGTCTGTGCCTCCGGGGGCCTTGTCCACCGTCCGAGTACTCTCGGTCATTATATCCTCTTCCATGCCGCGCATGGAAGGGGGTTCCTTAAGGCTGTAGGCTAGGTCACTCTCGTCTAGTGGCTTGGGTCGACGACGAGTTGAGGACTTGGGTTCTCGCTCCCATGGATCTTTGAAATCAAGTGATGGACCGCTAGTTGGAGATATCGAATCCTCCGGAGCGAGAGACTCTTCACTGTCACGGTGTTTGAGGGTTATGTTCTCCTCTGATACTCGTCCTCCTCGCATTTTTCTAGGCTGGATGTTAGCGTGGCAAAGAAGAAGATTGATTTACTCACCGATGGTGAATGTCAATCTCATCAAAACTACCTTTCCGGGACCGCGGTTCCGGACTGCGCACACGAGGTGTATGGGGGTCTTCAAAGCCTGAGTTTGATTAGAGGAGTGGTCCTGCTGGACTATTAACATGAATCTTACCATGTTCAATGTGCCTATGGTGGGTAAACACGTCTTGGTGAATCGGAGGTACATGTATCGATGCCAAAGAAGGCGAAGGCGGGCGTGATGGGAGCTTATCCTTTGTTTTCCGAATACTGATCTCTTCCTTAACTTCTTCAAGGTCTCGGGGGCGTGACTTGGAGTCGACCTGTGCACGCATACTAAGTTCTTCATCCAGTGGAACTTTTTCTTTAACCTCGCGCTGGAGACCCCTTAATTCGCGTTCAAGATCCTCCGAAGGTACACTGCGTCGTTTTTCACGTCGTTCGCGGATAAGAATTTCCTCGTCAACACGGTCGACTGGCCCTGGCCGTGGTCCTTTATCCTTCCGCCGGACCACAACATCATCATCTGAAAATTCTTCATCTGAAAAACTGACTCGCCCTCCGCGTCGCTCTGGGGGCGCATCGCGCATAAGGACCTCTTCCACTTCGATCTGTTGGGGAGGTGGAGGCCGTGCCCGTGGCCGTGGTCGATAGTATGGTTCTTCTTCTTCCTCAAACTCCAATCTTCTTTCACGCGATCGAATGTCAAGCTCGCTGTCCCATCCGCGGCGTAATGGAGGCTCTTCCCGTTCTTTCCGTCGAATAAACATTTCCTCTTCCTCAAATTCGCGCTCGGGTCGGTATCTTCTTCCTCCAGGTTTCCCGCGTTCTTCCACTAACAGATCTTCTTCAAATTCCCTTTCTGGGTGTCGCCTGCGATGGCGTTTTTCTCTCTCTTCGAAGAGCAGGTCATCCTCGGACCTTCGCTCTGGGTGACGCCTGCTCCCTCTGTGCATTCCTCTATCTTCGACTATCAACTCATCCTCTTCAAATTCCCGCGGGTATCGCCTATTTCCTCGAGTTCTTTCCCGTTCGACGATAAGTTCCTCATCTTCCTCAAACTCAGGCTCTGAGCGACGCCTCCTACCACCGCCTCTCTCCATTGGTCGTTCCTCAAATATCAGATCCTCTTCGGGCACTCGCTCTGGGCGATGCCTTCTATCTCGACGTCTTTCTCTTTCATCGAAAATCAAATCATTCTCAACCTCACGCGGATGCCGCCGACTCCCCCGGCGTATCTCTCGCTCCTCGAAAAAAGCCTCATCGTCATCTATGTCCCGAGGACGGGGTCTGCGCCGGGGTTCAGGCGGCCGCATATAGACATCATCCCGGTCCAAACGCATAGATCGCTCAGGCGAGTCCATATCTACCTCCTTTCTTGTCCGCATGAGAGTCACATCATCCCGTCCTCGCGGTGGCGCATAGCTCTCTGCCATGAAGTCTCGCCTGGGACGTTCTCGAATGTGCATACGCTCCATATCCTCAACTAGGGGCTCGGACCTTCGCCGACGGTATTCTTCTTCCTCATAGTCGCGATCTCGTCGGCGCGGCCTGTGATGTCGCTCACGCTCTCGCGCCATCTCATAGAATTCATCCTCTTCGTCGTAGTCGCGGGGTGGTGCTCGTCGGGACATTGTGGGAATCTGCGAGTGATCACCGCATCGGATGTATTGATTGCGTGGCCGCGCCTACGGGCGGAAATAACTCGGCTGCTATTAAGAGACACTTAGATTCGCTCTGGCGCAGGAGCCTGTCAAAAGGCTCAAGGCTCAGTTCAAGGTGACAGTCAAATTCAGTGGTTGATAACTTGGTGGGGCTTGCGAAAAGGAGGGTGGGCTGTGCTTGAGCAGGATTACCCAGTTGGGCAGCTAATGATGGTACAACCAGTAAGATAGATCGGTCGATCGAGTGGACAGAGTACGGAGTACAGGCCCTAGGGCTTGAACATGGAAGTGAAAGTGTGACCTGAAGAAACGAAAAGCAAAGAAGTGATCGACCCCGCGGCTGATGTCACTGGGCTCCTTAAAAGAAAATCTTCAGATAAACCATTCACTTCAAGATCGTTACACTTGTTTACTCCCCAGGTCCAAGTCTCCCACAGTTGAAGTCTACCCCTGAATCTTAGCTAATCCTATCATTGAAACCGTGGTTCTCTTCTCAAAACACTATCGGGGCATCCATGGATCATTTTGAGTGCTGAGAACCTTGGGTATACGGGTGGGGTCTGTAATGCTTGGCATCATCGTTCTTGTAGGTACCTAGGTACCCAAAAGCATATCCGAACCCTTCGTTGATCAGTTCGAGCCTAATGTGCATTGTTGGGTCTTCTACTCCGTACGGAGCACTAGGGTCCCAATGCAGTTGACTATCAGCTACGTGACCATCTTCAACAGTGGATCCAATGACCCAGAATGATGTCAGGCGAGTTCTTCAAGGGTGTGATATATTTTGGCAGCGAATAACAACAAGATTATGAAGCACCCAATTGGGCGAGTGTGATTTTTTTTTTCTCGCGACATTGGGTATATTGTAGCTAATAACAAAAGTGAAAGCAGAGCATAGAAGTACATGGGAGTACAGAGGATTATGGAGCCCATAGATCACTGGAAAGCAAGTCGCATCTGCCCCTTTTCAGGTTTGCCCCGACTCCCTCCCCCTCGGCCACCTCTTCCACGAGCAGTAGTACCACGTGCAGTTTTCGTGGGCGGTGGCGCATGTGAAACCTTCGCCTCGTCTCTGTCCTGGCTGGCGAGGTCCTTGGCGAAGTGCCAATCATCATGTTCTTCTTTCTCATACTCGAACATTGATTTAGAGCACCGTGGACATACAAAGCGAGGAACTCCGCTCAGTTCTGGGTTAATCTCAACAGGTCCTTGGGCGCAATCTGGCTCATCTACGGTGGTATCAAGATGCGATGGGTTCCCAAAGAAACTCTTAATCTTACCCTCATCGCCATCAAGCCTTCGTCTCTTCTCAGTTGGACCTTGTTCACTGGGAAGATTATCGGCGTCTCGGGGTCTCGAGGAATGGTTCAGGGCTTTGGCCTGATCACCGCGAACCAAGAAGCCCTCAATAGCCTTGTTATTGGTCACGCCGTCCTCAAAGCTTGACACGCTCAGCGACAGGTTGGAACAGGGCCAAGCCTGTCCGTCAGCCACAACTTGACGAAGCAAAGTGTTGGCCAGATCGTAGAGAAGATTTTCATTAATTGCGTTAGAGCCAGGGATTGCTGTCTGCCGAGAACGAGATTGCGCAGTTCCAGTTCGATGGTGTATCGTAATCACTTTTGGACGACGTCTATTTTCAAGCACGCCGTCTTCCACAAGCCGGCCATAGATATCGGCTGCGAAGATACGAAGCCATTTCTCGGCCTGATCGAGGGAGTTAATGCTCGGTCGGAACGATTTCGCGGATAGCATAGATTTGATTTGGGTCCGGGGATTGACCTCGCTGCGGTCATCACCACGGATAATCCCGTAAAGCCAGGATGCCGTATGGTCATCTAGCCTAGTGCGCATTTGCTCAAGCGGCACATTGAGAAGCTCGCGGACTTTTTCCGTCCCAAAAGCGGCAGTTATTTGATCGCCGAGTTTACCACCCAGCATTCTGATCTGAGTAAATTTATAACCACCTAGGAAATTCTGTACCGCCCGATTCCGCACAACAGTTTGTAGGTTGGGCTTATTGCAAGCACTTCCTAGTTTTGCGATCATTTTATTGCGACCTAGCCCAGCCGAACAAGTGTAGCTGAGCTTCTCCCAAACTGCGTTCCGGACCCATCGTACAATTTCAGATCCTATCAGCATGACGACATCATCCCAATCTGGATCATCTTCCTCTGTTTGGTGTTGATCCAGGTCTACCAAGCAGTCAGTGTCCCACTGCAAGGCTGTGGTCGGTGGTATAGGAAGTTCTGCATCCCGATTCTCATCCTGTGTTCCCATCCGAAGTTCTGGGTATCTCTGAAGAAGCGCCCTATATACCAATGGAGACAAATCAATGAAAACTTCATCAATACTAGCTTTCTCCAACATAGCCGAGAGTTCTTGCTTCGGGTTCTGAGGTTCGACTTCCGTGTCATCGGCACTCCATGTGGTCAGAGCCTCCTTCATCGTCTGGAGGATCTTTCGCGATTGTGCTCGGTATGGATCTAGCGACACCTTATCCGTGCTGATATTTCTGAATGAGTCATCCCGATACGCCCATCGCCCTCCCTCTCCTTCTCGAAAAGTCGCGACATGCTGTAAGACGAGATCTGGACAAAGTTTCCTGGCCTCCGCAACATTGATCAATCGACTGATTCCGAAGGGTCGGGCGGCATAATTAATGGCAATCAAAGAGTCCCATTGTCGCACTGCTAATGGTACATCCCGCGAGGTACCCAGACGGACCATCTCACATTGGGCGTAGAAGGCATCCAGATCGATATGCGCAATCACGCGTAGAGGGGTTGCGGTGGATCCCTGTCGCAGTCCTTGTAATTGTCGGTAGGTAAAACGGGAGACCTTCAGGGGATCGGATGACTCGGTAGGTTCGGACATCCTCGGGCGTGCATCATGACGGTGAACAGGCTGTTGGGGGCGTCGAAGTCGGTCAGGCCTTTGAGTCTGATGCTTTCAACCTTGGAACGAATGCCTAAAATGGACTAGCGTGGGCACGTGTGAGCATCTGATGTCCGTGTTTGTTTTCTCATCTCTTCGATTCAATTTCCATAGCATCTTAGGTTGTACATGTCAAGAGTTATTTTAATGTTCTTTTACAATAAATAAACGGCCCAAAGAGAGCCACAACTTACTTTTCTATATTCCCCAGAGTTATAGATCAGGGATGGTTCAAATGACTTATCACATAGTGCCTGCTTATTTTTCTTCAACCATCCTGCATTGTCATATGTCGTGTTCTCGTGCAGGATTTTCCGTTGTTGTAACTCGACCGCTACAAATCTCGAACATGAAAAGAAAAAGAAAAAGAAAAAGAAAGGAGACAGAGTGATCTCAGATCTGTGCGATCCAGCTGACATTGGCGGGCTGTGAGTGGACAAGAGGCTGAGAGGCTTCGCGCAGGTGCCCAAAGCCACGCATTCCTGCCCAACGGTCATCTTGTGTGGACACCACAGCTTTTCCAGTGGCAAGTTCACAGGTTGCCACCGGTCTTTTCTGTTAACAGATTGGCCCTTGAGTGTCATGCTCCTTTGACAGATGATGGGTGAGGGATCAATCACGATGAAGTCCTATGATGTGCCTCCCAACACTGCCCTCGCACACCATACATGTGAACTCCAACAGCTTTGCTTGACCGCTGCTGAAGATCCACTGGTGGAGTCTTGTAGAGTTTCGATATTAATCCGGTCCAGGGGCACAGACTAAGGAGCAATCCAAGCTGATTGAATATGGGGGATCGGCCCTTATTTTCTCTCGTCCCAACTAAAATCTAGTGGGAAACAAAGGGCTAATCAGTTGTTCGGGGTCTAGTTTTAGGGTACAAAGTACATCTTTCAATGAGTAGCCTGGAGTACTTTTTTCTACATTTGCTTACTTGTTGTACTTTCTCCCCAAGTTTAGAGTGGTTGGTCAAAAGGGGAAGTATACACACTGTGTACGAAGTACAACGTCGATATATTGACTCATCCGTAATCATGAATGATACAAAGTAAAAATTTTCTCAGGCGGCTACAGGCATAGGGTTGCACATCAGTCTAATCCACATTTGACCGTGCATGCTTTTGCCTTGATCTCAGTGGGGAGTCGTGGCACCAGCCCAAGACGGCCCAACCGCCCTCGCCCTTTGAAGTCCACTTTACCTCCCCCCTCTCCTCTTCCTTTCTTTTTCCTTCTCTTCATTCCTCTGGCCTCTCTTGCCAGTTCTTCTGTTCTTTTTCTCCCTGGCAAATATCTAGTTCGTCCCGAACAGATTACAGATATCCCACAGGATCCCCGTGTTTCTCTCCTAATCCTGACAACTCCCACAACTCCCCTCTTGACATCTTCCAACCTCCCTCTTCAACCACTTTTTGAGGCTTTCTCAATTTCCCAGGATAATTGCCCCAGTGGATAACCAGCAAGGATTTCCACTCAGGATTGACCGGACTTTTTCCAAGGACTTTTGCAATTTGCGACCAGGATTCTTTTTCTGGCCACTTCCCAAGGATCGTATCTCATTTTCTGCTTGTCCTGGAATCGAGAAAACAAATCATTCAGTCGTGATTGTCAGCTTTTGGAACCTACTCGCCTGATAGAATCTGTACATCCTACAATAAAAACGGGCTCACCATCAACTTTCCCTGGACTTTCAGACCATCTACCACACGGACTTTCTCTTTTCTGGCCCTTTGGATCCGAGGACTTAAATTTTTAAACCGGATATTTTCCTCCATCGGAATACATTATGACAGGCCGCTATGATGGACGCCCGGAGCGTCAGAATGAATATTTCATCCCCGGTGACGGAATCAGCCGCGAGGTTATTCAAGCAGATATTTGTCGCTACCTTGGAAACGATGCCCTCGTCAGACCTGGCAACCACAATGTTCGTCTTTCGCTCTTGACCCGATGACTCCAAAAGGCCATTTTGACTAACCATGAACAGGGACGGCCGGGATTCTTCATCCGTGCCTATCGGAATCTCACATCTGTAAGTGACCTTGGACATGCGACAAGTGGGATATGTCAAGATGGGATTCTAACCACATTTGGATACAGGAGATGATTACTGATTTGAAGGCTGACTCCGCTCGTTGGGAGGCAGACGTCTCCCCGCCGGGCTGACCTAGGCTACCCGCGAGGGAATTACATTCAAGACACAAATGTGTCTCATCCACCTAACACCGCTCCAGCGAACTATGCCCCTGCGCCCGTTCATGAGAGTCGCCAGTCACAGGGCCCCTCGCCTACGCCTTTTACTGCGGCACCCGCGCAGTCGTACATGGACCCCTACTCCCAGGGCGCCTACAGTGGATCCCAGAATGCCCCCTATCCCAACCCTTCATCATACACATCCTCCACTCACTCGCCATATGCATCAGGTACAGCTCCGTACCCTCCACCCCAGGTTTCCTATCCTGGTTCTAGTCAGCCTGTCGTGACGGCTGCGGACATGCACCCCCAATCGTACACATATGCCCCCACGGGCTATGGTTACGACAATGGCCGAAGCAATGCACCCCGGTACCCAGGACCTGGATATGATGCCGAACAGGAGTACTCTACTGTAACTTCCGGGATGTCCTATCCTGCCACTACTGCCCCGGATCCCCGGATAGGAATGGAGCCCAGATACACTCCAGAGTACGAGCGCAGGCCACAAGCAACCAGAGACAACCCCCACCGTCGGCGGTAGACAAGAATGACCGCCCCCAAGGGCTTTTCTCCATCTATGATCTCTTCTTCATCTCCATCCAACTTATGGCCCATTTGATGCTTTCTTCCTGGAATATCTCCAAAATGCTCCTAGGAATAATGTTGATGTCTATGAAAACCTCCTGGACACTCTTTACGCCTTTCTCTCTCTCTCGGCCACAATTCTCAAATTCCTAGTTTGTCTCTAGTCCAGGAACTCCAGACTAAGCCAAATATGTTCAATGTTTTACTTCCCACTTCCCATTGGACATGAATTCCACGTCTTTTTTTTTTCCACCCATGGACTTCCACTTGAACTGAACCCAATTGCTCTCCAGTAGGAGCTTGGACTTCCCGTGGATCTCCTGCTTTTTCTCCCATGCTTCTGTGCAACTGGCCAGCCAGGAGTAGGAGTGATGTGTCTTGATCGAGTTTACGAAAAGGTGGCCCGCACTTCAGCGTTTTGTTTGTTTCTGTCTCTGGTCTCATGGATTCCGGGAATACTCACCCAATAATGCGATCTTTTTCGTTGGTTTAACGGTGTACAGGATTTTGCGTTGTTAGCAATTTTTTCTTTGGTTTCGTTTTTCCCTTGAAAGGGCGGGGGTCATTGTGTTTTACTTTTTTATTTTCCTTTGGTTTGCGAGAGCGTTGTGCTTCGATAAACTAAGGCGGGTGACCTACATGTAGATATGAGCATTTGCGGCGTTGGTCCGTATGTGATTGACGTTGACGTTATGATGTGCAAGGTCGTGGATTGACTCCATGATTTTAATGAATCTCTTTCTCTGCATAATTTCTTACCTTGAATGCGTCAATATATCACACTAAATTTACTCATGCTTTTTTCGAGGGTTGCAGCTTCGCAATATAGCGCAAATCCTGTAATTGATTATGTGTGCAATTGATCAGGTGCTGCAGGTAGTATTAAATATAGCGCGAGCAGCCTGCCTCCTTTGTGGGAAGTCCATTTTAGGCTGTTCGTCGGCAAGAATGCAATTATTTGTATGGTAGCCAAGACACTTGAAACGTAGAAAAGCGAATGATGTCGATTATATGATTGCACAAAACATAGTACATACACTGTAGCGCCGGGCTCGACATTCGGCGTATACGCAACAAATATTGGTATCAAAGCATTTTGATAGCTAGGAGAGTTTGCCCCGGAACAAGTCTTTTCGGTTGCCGACACTGATGCGATGGGACTTGTGCATCAGTCTAGTGGCACAGCCAACTCATCTCCAGCCATCCGCTGAATTTATTCCTCCCAGGCTTGGAAAATACACGAAATTCTCTCGTACTGCCGATAACTTGACATTTTCGTAGTTGCGAACTCGTTTATTCGTCATCGTAGCCCTGGGGAATCACTCGCGGACCCTGCGGAACTGTACAAATTGAAGAGATTGATTAGGTTCAAGTTACTTGAATATGGGTTTGATGCTCGTGCACCGATTTGTAGGAATTTAATGGGGCTCATACTGGGATATGTCAGAGGAATGGGCTCAGGGTCGACGTCACCGAGGGCGCGGCGGATGGGGGGAATAGTGGCCAGCGCAACGGGACCCATGGCGCCGATGCAGATAGCAGCGAGGATAGCTGGCTTCTCATGCGCAGCCCAGCGAATGTAGCGGAGGGGGTGGACCAGAACTGAGGGGTAGACATGGCTGTGGAAAGAGGTCGTTGGCGACCGGTCGGGGTTTTTTGCGACGAGGTTGGGAGGTCAATGCCTGAATAATAGAAGTAAACTGTTCAGACGCACACGAATGAACAGATACACCGATCCACTTGGTGGTTGTTGAGTAGCAGAGAGAAGAGAAGCAAAATTGAAGCCGCAGGGACGAGGTGAAGTTGAAGTTCGGAGATGCGGACCCAGCGCTCTCAGGTCTTGGCACTTGCCCATTAAACACGTCGCCCTTTCATGGCTATCTATACAACTTGTATCTTCAACCACCTTCCTTTATTTACTTCTTTTTGATCCTTCCGCTCCGCTGTGCGGAATTTGTTCAAAATGAGGTGGTGTCTTGCGTTGCTTATTTGTTGCTTCCTGGCTGTGGTAAATGCGCTGAGTAGCTCCGGCAGTCGCCTGTTGGCTATTCTGGAAGACACAGAACAGAAGAACCTATACTCCACGTTGTGGACAGACCTAGAGGGTAGTGTACTCCGCCTCAATCCAAAGGTTTCTTGCTAACCCAGAGTCCAGCACGGGGATACGATGTCTCAATCGAATCTTCTAAGAGTGACCAGCTTGCTCTGTTCAAGCATGGCGAAAGAGCTTACGACCACCTCCTGATCCTCCCTCCCAAGTCCAAAGGTGGGCATACCCGATTCAATTGATCCAATTTCTAGTCAATTGACCTAATTATACAGGCCTCGGCCCTTCCTTGACCCCCCAAACACATCCTCGACTTCATGAACAAGGATGGCAACATCCTCCTCGCACTTTCTGGCAAGAGTGCCACGTCCAGCGCCATCAGCTCTCTTCTGCTCGAACTCGACATTCACCTCTCCACCGATCGTTCGCAGGTTATCGTCGACCACTTCAACTACGACACCCTCTCGGCCGCCGAGAAGCATGACGTCCTTGTCCTCCAGCGTCCTGGACCCCTTCGTCCTGATGTCAAGGCCTTCTTTGATGGCGAAGGTGTTCTTGCCCTCCCTCGAGTTGCACCCCAGACTCTCGGTGGTGATAGCGCCCTCCTCTCTCCGATCCTCAAGGCCCCCGCCACTGCCTACAGCTACAACCCTAAGGAGGGGACGCCCGCGCCGGAGGATATCCTGGCTACTGGTTCGCAGCTGAACGTTGTTTCTGCTATGCAGGCGCGCAACTCTGCCCGCTTCACTGTTCTTGGATCAGTGGAGTCTTTGGAGGACAAGTGGTTCTCTGCCTCCGTCAAGACGCCCAACGGCAAGAAGACTCCTACCGTGAACCGCGAGTTCGCTAAGCAGTTGACTGCTTGGGCCTTTAAGGAGACCGGTGTCTTGAAGGTCGACAAGGTCGAGCATCACCTTGCCACTGAGGGCGCAGAGTTGAACCCCTCGATCTACCGGATCAAGAATGAGACTGTACGTGAAACAACACATTGATTTTTCTTCCATACTAACCATTGTTTGTCTGCAGATCTACAGCATCGAGGTTTCCGAGTACGTCTATGACAAGTGGGTTCCCTTCGAGGTTCCCGCCGGCGACGCGCTCCAGCTTGAGTTCACCATGCTCTCGCCCTTCCACCGCCTGACCCTTCAGCCCACCAGCCGCACCGATACCAGCACCGTGTTCAGCACCCAGTTCTTGACCCCCGATCAGCACGGTATCTTCTCCTTCCGCGTCAACTACAAGCGTCCCTTCTTCACCTCCATCGAAGAGAAGCACGAGGTCACCAACCGCCACTTCGCGCACGACGAGTACCCGCGCAGCTGGGCTATTACTGGCGGATGGGTATGGATTGCCGGTCTTTGGTCGGTGATTGGAGGTTTTTTGGCTTTCGTCATTGTCTGGCTCTACTCTGCGCCTGTGGCTGATAAGCTTAAGAAGACTCAGTAGATCTATATTTATCTCTGTATGCATTGTACTGTCTGTCTATGATTTTCAATTTTCTTGCATGATCTTGATCCCCCAATGAACACATTAGGTCCTGAAGATGACCAATTTTCAACGATATGATTTCCTGTGCCCCTTTCTCTGCATAGGTTCACTAGTTACACTATTTGATCAAGGCGTTATCAATTTCGCAGCACATATTCCGATGGTGGGAGTATAGGACGTATGTGCTAGCTGCAGAGAACTATAAACAATGATAAGTTACTCCGTACAGGGAGCATCTCTGATATTAATTTTCGGGCCTATACAGTTGCGGAAGTAAACTGAAATCGTGGAAAGTAGTATCATGTACATTGCCATCGTGTCAACTCTCAACGGACCAACACAGAAAAGAATATATTGGTTTGATCTGTACTTGGGTTAGTTAGATCCACAAGGAAAAAAGAACCGTACGACAATGCACACCTCGCATGTGGTCCTCTCAGGTGAAGACACTCATAAGCCGCCGCACGATATGTCTTACCCCTACATCATCTGCAAGCAGGACCGGGCCCTGCCACCAGCTATATAGAGCCTCTTGGCCTTGAAGATGGGCGGGCCTGGCAGTACCCACCACCTGCCGAGCTCACATTCGCTGTTCCTGGGTATGTCCGATCACCTGGGGGTGTTTGGGAGAGATAGTGAAGGTGTAATGTGCATTATCAGAATTGGGTATGAAGAATCTCAGTCGAACTTGAGAGAAGTGAGTATGAGAAATATATGTTTTAAGCGTAACCGAACTCCGGGCCATGCCAGCATGTAATCAGCGAATCCAAATACCCTTTTTACAGGCCCCTTGTCTTCTCTGGATCCATCTGTACTTCGTTTCCGCTGATTTCCTTGACCGTCTGGTATGCAGGTTGTCCAGCATATAGTTGTCCCCCAGACGAGTTGTTTGAATTCCCGCTCTCCGCATCCCCGGATACCGAGATGGGCTTATTGCCACGGAAGCGCTTGCGCATATCGATCATACCACGCCTGTGCCGAGGTAAATTGCAATGATTAGCTAGGATTGTCCCTTTTGTTCAATATAGCCGGCCCAGAATCGAGGCTCGACTCCCGACTCACTTGCACTCGCCGAATCCTTTCCGCAGCTGCTGGCATTTCGTGGGTAACTCCTCGGCGAGAGGAGAGCTGAGACATTCACGGGGCGTATGACGTTGGACCATGATGCAGTCCGACTCCTGAAGGCATTGGGCCAGAGCCTTCCCTGGATGATCAATTTGTGGTCAGTTTTTGTTATGGTCAACGGAGGGTTGGGGTATAAGATCCAGGTGGGCCAGAAACGTGACCTCCCCTTCAACGGTTGTGCGACTCGGGGGTGTGACGTACGGATATCATTGCATGAACTGGGCATGTTGACACGACCTTGTGGACGAATGCGCAACCACAAACGGTTAAAGAGCAAAAGAACGAGGCCCCCGGTGGAACGCGGCAAATTTGGGTTGTCAGATATCTCGACGCTGATTGGTGGACGTGGAGACTCCCCGGATGAGATAAGCATCGCTATCACATGTCGTTGATGACGTCGAGGCACTTTCATCACTTGTTTCGCGCTTTTAAATGTTTGTAACATCTCTGTCTCTTGCATAACATCTCTAAGTGTACATGCACATATGCATGAAAATTGTCGTTAATCATGGCACGAGTCCCGCTCATTGGAAGACTGTTCTGGTGAGGAACTCCAAGCTTCAACAAAGGATGCAGTAACTGATCTTCACATCATTAGGTATGAGTACCTAGCTCTCTTCGGGTCTTTGATTCTTGTCCTTCTTGAGACAATCATCCACTTAATTACTTGGTGTCTTCGTCAGTGGAAAATCATCGAACAATGGATGACATCAACACTAACCCCTAGCCAGCAAGCCCTATCATTAAATTTTGCTACGGTCAATCCAAAGCCCTTTTCAACCTTTTGATTCCTAACGAACGCCGCTCCAAGCGTACAAAAGAGGAAAAATTCGCCAGCTCTATTGCAGACGCATCTGATTTCACTGAGATATGTGCCCTCTTCGGGTACCAAGCCGAGGAGCACATTGTACAAACGAACGATGGTTACCTCCTTGGACTTCATCGGCTGGCATATCGAAAGGGAGAAGAAAACATGCGCGTCAACTATGGTCCCAGTGGGACTCGGAAGAAGGTTGTCTACCTCCACCACGGCCTGCTCATGTCAAGTGAGGTGTGGGTAGCCTTGACAAACGAGCAGCGGTGCCTGCCTTTCCAGCTGGTAGAAAGAGGATACGATGTATGGCTGGGAAACAACCGTGGAAATAAGTACTCCAAGAAGTCGATCCGATTCTCGCCTGGTTCCAACGAGTTCTGGGATTTCTCTATTGATCAGTTCGCCTTCTCTGATATCCCCAACAGCATTGAGTACATCCTCGAGGTAACAAATCAGCCGTCGTTGTCTTACATCGGATTCTCCCAAGGAACAGCACAGGCATTCGCTACACTTGCTATTCATCCATTGCTTAACCAGAAGATTGATGTGTTTGTGGCACTTGCACCTGCCATGGCACCTTCAGGTCTCCGCAATCGCATTGTTGATTCACTAATGAAAGCCTCTCCGGACTTTTTGTTCCTGTTGTTCGGTCGACGTAGCATCCTGTCCTCGACAACCATGTGGCAAACGATACTCTACCCGCCAATCTTTGTGCGCATCATCGACACAGCTCTCAGAGCCCTCTTCAACTGGAAGTGTCGCAACATCAGTCAAACACAAAAGCTTGCAGCTTATTTGCATCTTTATTCCTTCACCAGCACCAAGTCTGTCGTACATTGGTTCCAAATTATTCGGAATAAGAACTTCCAGTTCTACGATGATGAAATCTATGCCCCCCTCAGCATGGCTGCCAGCGAGCGTTTTTACAAACCGGTTCAATACCCTACTCGCAACATCAAGACTCCCATTGTTCTCCTGTACGGTGATAGCGACAGTCTAGTTGATATCGGAGTGATGCTGAAGGGGCTGCCACACGACACAGTCGCCCAGGCGATTCCGACCTACGAGCATCTAGACTTTTTGTGGGCCTCCGACGTTGACCGCCAAGTCTTCGGTTATGTGTTCAATGCACTCGAGACCTATAGCCGGGGTGGCCCGTCGGCTGGCAGCAGTACGGGGTCTGAAAAACATGGGCTTTCAGCCGATGGCCGTGTTTCCAATACAAAGGCCGCCCGAAAAACCTCCGTCTTCCCCAGCGATGTAGCCTTCGGGGCCACTCCCTGAACGGACTAACATTTACATGTACAACATACATACAAATTTTCTTGTGGTTGAGCGGGGTCATGGCTTGCTCGGTCAATCGCCACAGCCGTCGTCGGGTGTATTGAGTGGATTATGGGATGCCTTTGTACGGTACCGATTCATGAAAATATGGTGTGTTGCGTGGACGGTGGACGGGTTGCCACCTGTCCGGTGCTTGGCATGAGAAATTCCAGCAGAGTTTTCTAGGAATACGATGCCTAAATACACCGAAGTGGCGTCAAGAGGTGGGAGGTTCCGACCTTCCCGTGTGCCTAACCATGTACCACGTAGAGCATCAGAATTAAACCGAGTGAGGTGACCCAACCTCGTATCCGCAGCCTCGATACACTGGGCACAATCGAGGTAGGCACTAGGGCTGAGTGATAATCTAACCACCTTCCCAACACGTTTCGGCCTAAAAGATAAGCTTTGATTAAGTCGATCATTGGAGAACTCGAGGGGGATTTCTTATATTAATTGTCCATCGTGAGGCATAAGAGTTGATATTCAGGGGCGTACGGATGTCAGACAGGTGGCGTACTTCCACAAGCCCAATAAGGGACTGTCAATAAATAAATAAATCAGAATCAAGAACAAAGGCGCAGTTGAAAACTTTTTGCCCGAAATCTCTGTGGGCTATGATTCGATCTAGACCTGGCGCCTATCTCCACAATGCAGGCTAACGTTGGCCGAACAAGTCATATTGAACAGCGAATCGAAAGAGAAAAAAATATTAGAATTCAGGAACCACGCCACCCATGGAACTCCCATGGAATCATTATTGGTGAATGCATTCGGGTTGGTCCGACCAGATCTCTGTTCCTGAGTCCAGCAATGGTCACCAATAGGATCATTAGGAATGATATTGTCTAGTGCCGTCTAGTCAGGCACCGGCCACATGGATACACATGGTGAACCCAAATTCATGGCATGGGCTTTACGGCCTATCAAACGCCTGCCACGCCAAAATCTGACACGCCCAATGCCCTCTCCATTGACTCCACCCCGTTGAATAAAATGGCGCGCTATGCCCTCCATCTCCTCTTTTTTTCCTCTCTCCATCACTATCCTTTGAATCACACTCATTTAGATTCTTTCCTTGAGGCTGAGCCTTCTTACAACACTTTCTTTAACAGTCTGTAGATCAGACTAAAGTCCCTCTTTCAAACACCACCTCAACACTCCCTCTTTCAATCTCCAATTCTTCAAGCCAATATGCGCTTCAACGTTATCGGCCTCTCGGCCCTTCTGGCAATCACTGCCTCTGCCCTTCCCGTCGCCGTTCGCGACGTGGAGACGGTCTATGAAACCGTCTATGAAACCGTCTACCAGACTGTCGGTTCGGTCAATGCGCCGACCAACCTCCCCGTCCAGGAGAACGTCATTCTTCCAACCACCGCTGTCCCTACCACGACCAGCATCCCAACTCTGAATGTCCCCACTGTCGTGCCCACCGTCGTGCCCACTGTCGCACCGTCGAGCACCACCAACGCTCCCTCCAGCGCCAGCAGCGCTCCCGCCACCGGCAGCGGTGTCTCCATCGTCAACAACCTCCCCCAAACCGTCTACCTGTGGGTTGTGACCGAGAACCCCGGTGAAATGCAGACCCTCGCATCCGGCGAGACCTTCCACGACACCTGGCTCACCAACTCCAACGGCGGCGGTATCTCCATCAAGATGTCGACCACCGAGGTCTGCGACGACGTCCTGCAGTTCGAGTACACCCAGTCCGGTGAGGTCCTCTTCTGGGATATGTCTTCCATCAACCTGTCCAAGACCTCTGAGTTCGTCGCCGCCGGATTCGCTGTCACCATCAGCGACGAGTCCTGCCCCACATCTACCTGCGCTCCTGGTGATGCCTACTGTGTCGAGTCTTACCAGCTGCCTGATGATGTCAATACCCTGGCTTGCGGTATCGATGCCGCCTACACCCTGACTCTGGGTTAGAGTTGCTTGGGTTTGAATTCTAGGTGTTTATTTGGATATACCTTTGGGTTACAGGGGGAGTTTCTTATGAACAAATTGCAAAGTACAAAATTACAAAGCACAAATTAGGTCTTCTTTTTTTGGATATAGTTTATAGATGTGAAACGAAAATTGAAAAGTCTTTAGATTAAAAACTTTTAAATATCTCGACGCCAGTTTCATTGAGCATTTGCAGGCTATGTGTAATGTTAGTGCATGGGGTCCATGGTCCAATTTCATACTTCCACATGTAACGTACGAGGAATAAGTGATGCTACAACGTTGTACAGCGTATGAGGGCCGTCCATGCTGACGGACACGCATGTGCTTCGATGATCCCATCTGGTGCAAAATAGCCCCATGGTCACTTTTTACAATACAGCAGATGAATAGAAAGTGGTATCCAGCAGAAAATAATGAAAATAGAATCCTAATATTGTCAGAAATCCAGACCCCTCTAGGGCTGAATTAGGGCTAATTGGCAACCTAATCTCCATTTTCCAATTTCCAGTCTTCGACCACTCACACAAGACATCCTTGGCATGCTCGGGGGTCCTTTGTACATAAAATATAACCTAGTACACAGGCAGCTTGAAAGCAGGGAAAGAGTAAGTCCAGCTATCAATCGAGGTCTTATCATCAACACACTCAAACGAGCTGTTACTCTTCCAAAGCGGACGAGTAGGCCACTGGCAAAGCATCTGCGTTTCACCCTCATAATTTCCAGACGAGACAGTCGCATTCAACCGGGAAGGCTGAACCCCGTTCTCAACCCACTCAATCATAGTCTGCATATTATTCTCCGGGAACGGGCCGGGCTGGAGGGTATTAGTGCCGCAGTGCGCAGCACCGGGGATAAGGTAGAACTGGTACCAATCGGCGAGTTCCTTGAGACTATCGCGCGCAGACAAATGCGGATACATGACCGAGCGGACGGATTGCCAGTAATGCACGGAAGATGCAGCAGGGATACTGGGGTCCGATTCACCGTGGTAGTGTAGCAGTTTTCCGCCGGAGGATTGGAAAGGTGTCAGATCCGGCAGGGTAGTCTGTAGACTATCCATGTAGCGAATCATTCCGATGTTCATCCACTCGACGAGGGTGTCGTAGGTAACGTTTTCGAGATTGGAGAGGTTGGAGAGATTGAGGAGCTGAATGAATTTGGTCACATATTCGCCGCCAGTCGAAGGGATGCTGATTTCCCATTTGCTGGTCGCGTTGTTCCACTGCGTATCTCCGTCGCTGAGCTCAGAGCCGATCTGCCAGGATAGATAGGCGCGCTCGCCCTTTGAGTTGTGGAGACCGTCGTAGATTGTTTGAGCGACTCTCACGCCTTGGGCGGTGACTTTGCCGCTCTGTTCGGGTTGGTAGGAGGTGCTTGTGCCGTCAGCGCGTTTGCTGAAGCCGAAACCTAGGGAAGTGCTGGTTTCTGCTGCGCAGTAGTATTCCTCGCCGATGATGGAGCTCAGGTTGAAGTTGAGCTTGCAGAGGTCGGTGCGGGAGACGACGCCGTCGGCTCGGCCGTCGAGGGGATCGCAGGCAGCGATTGTGGCATTGACTATCTTTGCCAATTCGCAAGGAGGCGGGTAGTAATCGAGGGTTTGCTCGACTGTAGCTGGGAAGACGTGGTGGACTTGCTGTTGACCGAAACGGAAGGCCGGAGCTCCGGTGATCGCACCGTCGTACTCCTCTCCGTAACGCTGGATCTGGCTCATACCCTCACGGCCGCCGTCAGAACAGCCTTCATAGTAGGTGTAGACCTTGGCAGAAGCAGACATGCCATAGAATCCCTTGGTGAGAGCCTTTCCGATCTTGGTCATTTCGCCTAGAGCTTGGTATCCGAACATGTAGGTTGCATCCCAGTTGATGGTTCCGTTGCCGTATAGGACCACGTCGTCGTAGCTGTAATTGAAGGCATCATAACCTGCGCTGGTGGCACCACTGACAGCACCGTACTCGAGACCGCCGGTTGCATCGCTAGATAGAGAGAAGCCACCACCGCCGGCGACATAGAAACGCTTCTTGAAGTCGGAGGGCTTCGGGAAGGCATACTTGACGACGATGGAGTCTCCCTTTCCAGTGTGCTCGTATGTTACGGTCACATTGCAGTAGGAGTATGTCTCGGTGCTCCCCATGCCAGCGCTAGCATTGTAGACGGCACTGGCAGTCACAGCGGATGGGATCATGCTAATACCTAGCAGAGTGCCATTGGAAGGCAGGGCAGACTGCACATTAGAGACGGTACAGACATCAGCAAGCGAGGCAGCGCTTGCCGATGCTGCCAGGGCTGCAACAGATGCGCCCCAGGCGACACGCATGTTGAAGTATATCAAATGAATAGATGTAAATGAAATGAATGAGTGTCAATATGAAATTTCACCGAGTGTAAAGAGCTGGGGGATCAATAGGAACACCAGAGGTAAGGCTGTACTTATATCATCTTTGGGGATCTACATAATATGATAATGATCTGTTTCTAGTTTCTAGCAACTGGAGCGCAGATCATGCGTGAACCCGCCGCGTCGCCTGCAATTAAACCATGAAACCATATCTTGAATCACTGATCAGACTATGTCGGCGTGGATACTTGGTCGTCGTCATCTAACACCCATCGCAAGGCACAGCTCAGAATAGGTTAGCAATAAGACCTAAAGGGAAACGGATCCTCATAGCCCAGGCCTCATAGCCCAAGGTATAGTTCAATTCAAGCTTCGGAATTAAGGGGTACGGAGTAATTCATTTCCTCAGAGAGACGTGTCCACCAGTAATGGGGCAGGACGTTCCTAGTTTATTTTAAGTTTGATATGACCGGGTAAGGTTTATTCCCTTATGCTTAAGATCTAACCCTAAAGCTCATCCATGGTCCAGCGACCGCGTCATTCTCATGTGTATACGCGTGGCCATCTATACCTACTAGGTCTAGGGTCTAAATTAGGTTATAAACTAAACAGTTATACTAAGAATTCTAAATATATGACTTGGAAATCCGAGAAACTAAGTAGTTCAATCCGTGGATTTATTTGTACTTCTTTACTAGCAAGGTCCACGGGAGCTCGTCAGGGCATCAACTGAGAGCTTGGAAACAATACTTCACAACGACAACGAGTCTTTGCGAAATCACGCGTAATCCCTGCACAACGGGTTGAGATCCCTCGTTAGCCGCAGTCTTCCATCCCGATCGAACATCATTGTGAACATTTTTCATCACCGCTCATCAGAAATAGGTAGAAATAACTTAGAAAGTTTTAGTCACAACAGGCCGTTTCTTGTTCTTCCGACATTCTGACAGATAGTTGTTTTGACTTATCTTTATTCCTCAATAGAGGGAGGTTGGCCGGTTGCTTGAATCGTTCAATCAATGGACGAAAAACTAGTCAAATGCGAGAAGAAAAGTAAGTTTGAATCGCTTGCACTAACACAGGAAAAACAAAAACAAATATGTTGCTACTTTTCTAGTATGTCTTAAGCTAGCGGCAATGTGGTCTGTACAAGGTGATTGATGAGTAGGTAAATATATGCTTCGCTGATCAAACTGTCCAGTAGCCAGATGGCCCGGACAGGTGGTCTACCCATAACGAGTCACGGCGCTCTTCGCGCTCTTCTGAAGAATGAACCACCCAACAACTGGGCAAATGGCATTTCCTCGTAGCCTGGGGCCAACGACTGATAAGATCGAGATTTCCAGAGCCAGGTGCTTGCGGCAACATGTGAAGAAGCCATGTGAGATCGTAGAAATCGGGGTTTTTTCTTGCGGCATTGAGTACTTCATTGGTGATTTTGATATGCAGATTGTGGTTGAGAATGGCAAGTATTGTTTTGAAGTGTCCTTTCTCCATGATGATGCCCATAACATCTTGAGGGATCGGGAAGTTGCGCTCCACCAAGAACCAGACAAGTCGGGCCAAGAAGTCATGTTCGTTGTATAATTTGTCGTCTCGAATGTTAAATGAAGATCTTGCAAGTTCGAATACCCCTTGATCGTCAAGTGAGTTTCGGTCTTTTATCGAGTTGTCGGAACTTGTAATACCCTCAAGCATGCCTTTGGAAATCTCCACACTGGTATATTCCAGTAGAATGTCCGACACTTCCTCGCTGAATATACAGCGAGTTTGCCAAAGACGCTCCCAAACTAGCTGGAAGTTCAAAGGACGCTTTTCATCTAACAGAATACGAATGATGCTGCCAGAATACGAAGGCGAGTTAGCTGCAACCAAAAGGATCTCTTCAGTGATAGGAACTTTGGAATCCAAGCGAGCGAGAAGCAGCATCAAGTCTTGCGCCATGACTGGAAAGTAGGAGGCATCTGGATAGGAGAAGATGCTTTTGACCAAGTCCTCAGAAACCGAAAAATCCAGGTTTCGGAGCTTGAGAAGTGCGTGCTTGCTACTAAATCTTTTGGCATTTTCAAATGCCTTGTGGGTAACTTGGACCTCTGGGACGTGGGTCAAGACCACTTCCAAAGCCCCCCTATTTCCCGCGAGTACTTCGACAAGCTGCTCATCAACAGAAACGAGACCTCGGTGAAGAAGAATTTCAATAACTTCCCCACCATCAAAGTGATCAGTTGCTATCTTCTGAATGATTTCCGGGACGGGTGGCTCATCTCGAGTCCGGTCGAGAAGAACTTGAAAGATGAGAGGATTGGCAAATGCGTGAGCGAAAACACTTTTTGGTATACCGGAACTGGATGCACGGTCTAGAAGTATAGACATTGTACTTGGGCTCATAAGCCAATTTTGAGCTGCGACACATAATACATCCTCAGTCACAACATACTCAGGCCCAAGACAGCCAAGTATAAACTCAATGAGAGATCCCAGCTCTGGGGTTGTGACCTGCTCTGAAAAGTTTTCTAATGCTCCACACAACACTTTCTCTGTGATCGACGTATTCGGGCCACCAATCGCAACCAGCAGCTGTAATGATTTTAAATTCTTTCGCCGAGCGATTTTCAACAGGAGTTCTTCTGAAACGAAACCGGCCTGCTGTCGACGAAGAATTGTTATCAGGCTCCGATTTGCCTCCTGGGGCCAAATAATCATGGTTTGCGACAGGGTGTTTTCGTCTATCAAGCAATCTGGGCCGCAGCTATCCAGCAGGGTCTGGAAGATTGAAAATCCTTGATCCCAGTTTTCAAGAGCTTTAAGGAATAATCCATACCCTATTGTTATCTCATGGTCTTTGTCTTTGAGGAAAACCCCAAGAATCCTGGCATCCCGCCAATTACTGGCGGCCGCAACCAAAAGTTGATCTGTAATCACGATCTTTTGCCCATAAATCTCAAGAAAGACTTCCATGAGATCGAGGGTTAGACTTTTGACCAGCGTTTCAAGGTGACGGTTTTCCCAAAAGCCTGGTCGTAAGATGATTCGGAACCATAGCCTCGCCACTTCTAGGTTAGTCGTAACTCTTGCTAGCAAGAAAAGCCCGCCTTCCAATGGCCCAACCGCTCTATCAAGCCATTCAAGCACCATTCTTAGGATTTTCTCAGCATGAGGGCTTGTTGCTGCGCCCCAGAAAATCGAATCCAGGTGGAACTTTAGCCTTGGCCCATCTTTGAAAAGGAGCAGCCTGAGTAGGGAAGATCCGCACTTTTTATTTTTCGCCGCGTATTCTCCGACGAGATCCTTGATTTGGACAGTTCCATCGGGATTTAGGTACTCTAGCTCTCCCAATTTCTGAAGCTTGGCAAGAACCATTTTCAATGATGTTTCTCCTTCCTTGGAGTCATCAATCACCTCCATAATTTCTTCTATATGACATGCCTTCGATGAAGCCTCTAACAGAACAGCCAAGAGTGAAAGATGGCCCTCTCTGGCAGCACAAACGAAGGAACAACTATCCCAGTCATTTATGACTCCGGCTGTATTCCTGTGAGGCTTTTCTCCCATCTCCAATAGACTTTTGGCAGTGTGTATGAGACCAATGCTTGAGGCCATCATAAGAGGGGAAGGGAGACTCTCGAAAGTCATGTACCATGTGGGAACTGTATAGAAGGGATATTCTCTGCATCGCATCCAATTAGAGTAGCATTGTCGATGCAGAAATATATGATCAATCGTATCTTGAAGATCTTCCAGTGTACATCGAGAAGACAATTTCAGATGCCCATCCCAGAACCGAGCCGCATAGTTCAGCAGTGACTTATCTTCAGAGTTGAACTCATTCAAGCGGTAATCCCTGTATTCATAGATTTCAAGAAGCGCTCTTTCCAATATAACTCGATGCGCGAGTTCCGCTGACAGATGAAAGAAGCTGACTTTGGTTCGGGCATGCTCAGAAATCAAGAACTCCTTGACAGAGAAGTGAGCTAGGCGAATGGTATTGTCTGCATTGAGAGTGACGAGCGATGTTGTACATATCTCAACGACACTGTCAGTGAAGGAAAGCCCAGCGACAGTTCGAACAGCATCCAGTGTCAGCGGCGCGAGGGAGAAGCTGAGCCAAGTAAGAATTTTGAGCGCTTCTTCTTGGTACATTTTATCAATCGCGAGCAGAATACGCTGATATGACTCTTCAAGCGAGTGAGGGACTGAGGCTAAGGCATCTTCGATATCAACCTTTTTGTGACAATTTTCAAGTCGTTTGATTTGGAGGTCGGCCCATCGGAATCGCCTATAATGAATCTCAGTACAAGAGCATTGCTGTGTTCACCCTTAAAACTTACCTATCGGGAAATTCCAGAAGTCTTTCTTCGATTGCTTCAAGTATGGTTGGATTGACATCTTTCCATCTACTCAAATTGCCATGTCTCAGTTCAAATTTGATATATGTCTGAGCATCTTCGCCCAGATTAGCCTCCAGGTCGAAACCTGTACAACTCTGCAGCTTTTTTTGGATATGAGGATCAGGCCGGCTTGTTGCGAGAAGATGCAGCTTTTTTCCATGTTCCTCGATCAGGTCTTCTATGAATTGAAGCAAAGAATCTCTTTCTTTTCTTAAAGGCTCCTGAGGACATTCATCCAAAGCGTCGAAGACAATGAAGAGGTCACCGGATAAGGCTGATATTATGCCGTTCAAGACCTCAAGTAGCTGTGCATAATCTGGCTCTCTGTTGATTCTATGTTGATTCCACAATTCTTGTAAGGAGGCTGGCAACGGATTGGGCGCAATCTGACGGAGAAGACACCTCACCATATTCTCAACGTATCGAGTCTTCTCGTCACTAAAATCAAAATACCAGTATGCAAGCACATTACAGAAGGTATCTCTGCAATGCTGCTCCATATCACGAATGATTGTGGAGCTTAAAAATGGTCAGCCAGCCAATTTCCCTGTGAATATAGCATGGTAGGATATCAAGTACCAAAGATATGATTTCCCACAACCCACTTCGCTCGATGAATTAGTATTCCTCGGTATATCTTCGGAAGTCATCTAGCTCACCAACACCATGTAGCCATAGAATGCTCCCTGCTTTCGCCTTCCAATCGGTGTACACTTGCGACTGAAGTAACCATTCTCCAGTGCCGCGAGATCGCTTCTTTTGTTTCTCATTTTGAGTTTTGGAATATTGGACCGCTGACAGCCACTCAAGAATGTCTAGCTCTTCTTTGTCTGTTTGACCTAGTCAGTATCTATGAGTCAGATGTAGTCATTTGAGTGTTCACATACTGCGAGCTCGCGAGGAGACTTCTTTCAAGTCCGCGATCACTTCATCTTTAAGAATGCTCATCATACTCTCCAACTTCTTTTTTTGCTCTGCCTTATCTCAGCTCACGGCAAGAGAAGGTTCACTGGGGCTTGAAGCTTACCCTCATCTCGAACCAACAACTTCTAGTCACCAACAACTCTGCTCATACTCTCAACAGTTCCCTTGAGATCCTCCAACGGATCGTCAACCAAAGCAGTGATACTGTGACCGAGGCGACCTGCACTCTGGTTAGTTTCATTTTTCAACGGGATTCGAATACAATATCACAGTACGTCCGCGGCTTTCGGTCCTTGTCTTCTCCACTTCAGCGGCATACTTGAGAATTGCAACGTAAACCTCAACAAGAGCATTCTCCAGGCCTTTATTGGCCTGCGTATATTCAGAAAGGTAATTGTGCTCAACTAAAGTATGGTAGGCGATAACAACGGCGAGGAACTCCGATGATGCCACGACCGAGTCACGTCGTTCAATGTCTTTTTGAAGAAGCTATTCATAATTAGCGCTGTTCGGCCAGAACCTTCCAGGATTGACACTCAAAGTCTCTAGAGTCTTACCGTCAATCCAAATGATACTATCGACCATGCAATCGATGCTAGGTCTGTCAGTCCACTTTTCGTCAATAGTGCATAAATCACATTTGCCTTACCATAACCAGTGGGATCAAAGGTCAAGACTTTTCCGATCAAGTCTTGGGCTTGCAAAGCGAAGCCGAGCATATTCTTGAATTTCTCACGTGCATCAGAATTTTTTTGCTTCTTCTCATGACCCTGGATTGCTTCGGTCTCGAGTTGCTTGTAATTTCCCTTTGCTTCTTCTTGGATCCTCCCGATGACTTCCATCGTTGGTGGAGATTCTTCAGGTTTCAGCCACTTGGTGTAATCCTCTTCCAGCCTTTCCTTTGCCACTTCCCAAAGGTCTCTTCGGTCGAGTTGACTTCCTTTCCTGGATTGGGCCTCTTCATGATTCTGGCTATTGCTTTGGGACGTGGAGTGGACGCACTCTAGGGATTCGACTGTCAATTTTGGACCAAGTAAGAGCTCTTGGTCGGGTGCTATCTCGCCCTGTCGCTCGCCATCATCATGCCCATGGGACGCATCTTGAGCATTCAGAGTATTGTCTCTTTTTTCAAGGGCTACAAGTTTCGCTGGGGATGCGATCCTGTTCACATGTCTCGCGTTCTTATCGTGGCTGGGCCGGTGAAACTGGGGAGGAATGTTCATATCAGAATCGGCGTCATCTTTCTCGCAGAAACAGCCGAAATAGCGAGCCATGTTGCTCGCGATAGAAAGAGATGACTCGGTCAGCTATGATGGTGGCCTCGATGAATATTGCAAGGCGAAAGAGAATGATACTGGGACGAGATTGAGCATTTCGAAACGCTTTCCCCCAAGGCATTACTCGTCACGCTAAATCAGGCATAGTCATGCGTGATGAGCTGGCAACCAGCCGCAGGCATAGCGCTAAAAATATCTCCTTTTTCAGTCGTCTACACCGTAGAGGACTTCGCAGGTCCACGAAAATTGCAGTACAATCATCCGAAGAATTTCTACGCATGAAAAATGTGTTTTAAAAAGAATTCAATCACATTACTATGGTACAGGCGACTTCCAGCTTTGTCCCGCGCGTGTATGGCCGGGGTGACACGTGATGAGACCGGACAGCTTCGATGATTATGTAAGACGAAAGGGCGTGCCCAGATTTCCTCCGGGGGTAAAAAGCGGCAAGAGATGAGCACTAAAGTGGAGGGGGAAAGCCATGAAGTGGGAACCCGGTACTTCGTACAGCATAGGTAGATCTAGGAAGTATCAGCCTTGTGGCCTGCGGTTAAACTTTAGCTAAGCCTAATGTACATACGGAGTAGAACGATGCGGAGTAGTTAAAAGTGACTTGCTTGAGTAGCGCAGAGGCTAATTACGAATTCTTGTATGGAGTCGATATAGCTACATATTCAACGCCAAAGGCTAGACCGCAAGATCATTCGCTTCTCTCATTATCCACTAGCCACTAAGCTTTGGCACTTCTTTGGAAACATCGACATCCGGCCCATTCAAAAAAGACGCCCTCGGACAATGCACTGGATTGAACCATCTCCCCTTGTCGGTCCATCGGGGTATTTATGTGATGATAGTCGGCATTTGATCAATATGTATTCCATCGGAACCATATCCATGACCCACATTCATAACGATGCCGCTATCTGATCTGGTATTCTTGAGCCAAGGTATCTACTGTCAACGCGGTCGAATTCAATAAACTTGTAGCCATTAGGGTGACTTTTAGATTAACTTCTTTATCGGGTCATCAGAGCGGTCGAAGATGGCCCTTCAACATTTGAGGTGAGAAAATATCAAAAAAAAAAAACTCGCTTTTTCGCGCCTATAGACAGAAATATCGTACGTCATTTTGATCGATCTTGACCACCATCTTGCCATGTGCCTCGTTACCTTCCATCAAACGGTGAGCCTGTTGAATATCCTCAAACCGGAAGACCTTCCAAGGATCCGCATTGAATTGTTTTCGCGCCACCATAGCGACAATCTCCTGAAGCGGAACATCCGACAAAGGAAACTCAGGCGTTCCAAAAACAAAGCTCCCAAAGAAGCTAAAGTGGACACCACTTGCCATCTGCACAAGAGGATTGAAGTTTGGAATGGGTGCAAGTCCACCCAAGAACCCGGCCAGACAGACCCGTCCTCCTCTATGCACCATCTTGAGCGAATCAATGACGGTACTGTTACCAATAAGTTCCAGAATAGCATCAAATTTATCAGAAATTCGTTCAGAAAGACATGGTTCTTCTATCAATACTTGTTCAACCCCAAGAGCCTTGAGTTGAGGTATACGTTTCTCCGTTCGAGTTGTTGCGGTAACATGAACCCCAGCCTGGACGGCCAGGTTGATCGCTGCTCTCCCTAAAGCAGAAGTACCACCACGAACGAGAAGCCGTTGTCTAGCTGATATCTCTAGGTTTCGAAAGAGACAGGTCCACGACGTGGCGTATGATTCTGGGATGGCTGCCAGCTGGTCCCAACTTAGGTCTTCTGCAGCTGGCCCGAGCGCAACGACATTTGAGACTTTGACTCGGGTGTACTCAGCGTAACTACCGTCAATAGTACGCCCAAGCCCGCCCATAAGGCTTGCGACAGGAGTTCCTTCTTTGAGTTCTCCTCCTGGACAGCTGAATACTGTGCCCACACATTCGATACCGCTGATTGGCATCCATTCGGCCCACTCTCCCTTTCGCATATGCATTTCTGCATGGTTGATGCCAAAGGCTTTGATTTTTATGATGACTTCTCCTTGATTTGGCTCTGGGGTATCTGGGGCGGCCACATCTTTGATTACTAGGGACTCGGGGCCGCCGAACTGTTCTATGACGATTGCTCTCATGTTGGACTGTAATATGCGCTCGATGAAGCTCAAGAGTCGGAGTTGTGCGGCATATCAGAGCTGTTTGTAGATATCAACACATTCCACGGTATCAGTGTGACATCATAAGGTTTTGCTCTGTTTGTTCGGTTTGATATCGACAGTCATGGTCCATCAAACCTCACCTTCTAACAGTCACTATGAGTTTGACTGATGCACCCTCCTCACATCAAAACTCCCCTTTTCCAATTTCCAAGGCAGCACATATCCTCGCTGGTTACTTACAACCATAATCCTCCCTTCTCTTAAATCGGTTGTATAATGTGTATGTCCAAATATCCAATCCGTCCCAAACGCACAATTTCACAAGTTCTTCGCGTACTGTGGACTTGAAGTACGCTGCACGGATGGTGCATGATGCATGACAACCAGGATAGACCGCTTTTCCTGCTCCCGAAGAGTTTGGATCTCACCCCTCAACCAGGTCAAGTCGGACTCGTGCGCTTGGTTGTGTTGCTCGATGGACCATTCTTTGATCATTTGGAAATCGGAGATTTTAGAACGGACTATATCCACTGAGTCCTGGGGGATCTGGGACCAGAGTGTGTAGCCTAAGATTAATACGTGGGAATCGGGGATGTCATATCGTCGTTGGCAGAGTAATACAAGACGGTCATTCATACAAGGTATTTTTTCAAGCTGTTTTGCTTTTTCGAGACTGAAGCGAAGGTTGTCTCGTCGAACTCGTGGTTTCCAAAGCATTACAAAACGATCTCAGACTTGGATGCTTGGTTTTGTAAAAAGTCACGATAATGGTTTTAATCCTCCAGGCGACCGATGTCCCCTGCCAGAACGAGGTATCTGGAGCAAACGGGAATTTCGAAGGAAGATTGTTGATTGATCCCCAGATGCAGGTCAGACAAGATCCGGAATGAGCTAGAAGGGGATCTCTCGAAAACGGACCGGATCGTCTGTAGTGCCATTTTGGGACATGAGAACACGAAACTCAAGCAAGTCAAGTAGGTATACGAGCACTCGTATCGAGATCAGGAACAAAGCTTAGACCGATCATGTGATATCCCTACCTATTGACTTATTCCTATTCTCTCAATCCCATCTACGCCATATAAGCACCACCAGAGACCTGCCAAGTCTGCCCAGTCAACCACTGCGACTCAGGACTAGCAATCAAAGACGCAACCCCAGCAACATCCTCAACTTCCCCAGGTCGACCCAGCGGTGACCACTTACTCAAAGCCTCATCGATCTGCTGAGGACTCATCTTCTCACCACCGGGGATATACTTCGCCGACATCTCAGCATACATATCAGTCTTAACACCGCCAGCCGCAATGCAATTAACAGTGATATTCCGCGGACCGAAATCCATCGCAAGACACTTGGTCATACCCTGGACAGCCGCTTTCGAGGCAGCATAGACAGCATGACGAGGGACGCCCTAAATCGCATCAGAACTCGTCAGCTGCTATGCAAGCCAACAAACACCAAGACCACCAGACTATTCGTCTGCTCTTCTTACCCTGACGGCTGAAATCGACGAAGTCAGCATAACACGCCCATAATCCTCCATGAAACGATAGGCTTGCTGAGCGACGAAATATTGACCCTTAACATTAACCGCAAAGACAGCGTCGATATCGCTACCCTTCACCTCGGAGAGATCGCCGAAATGCTCGATGCCTGAGTTACTGACTGCAATATCGAGGCGGCCAAATTCACGGTGCACAGTCTCGAACATGGCTTTCACCTCTTCTTCCTGTGAGACGTCGGCTTTGAAGGCGAGGGAGCGCACACCTAGGACACGGATCTGCTCGACGATGGCATCGGCTGCGGCGGCATTAGAGACGTAATTTATGGCTACGTCTGCTCCACGGTGGGCGAACTTAAGGGCTATTGCGGCGCCGATGCCGCGGCTAGAGCCTGTGACTGTTGTTTTCTATGAGTGTGTTGGCTCAGAGTGATGGTGTAGACCTTACTGATTGCAACTTTCCCGGCTAGGTCTTTGTTTGTGGACATACTTCCGAGCGGGGACTAGGGAGAACAGTCTGTCTGCGTAAATAGGAAGTGTCACTTTCTTCTTATATCTCACCATGTTGATCGCAAAGGTCGGTGAGCATATGCATGCGTCACACTCGTATAGAATTTAACTTTTAGAAAACAGATGAATTCGTGTTGTATAGAGTATGTGGTTCAAATCGATTCGAATTGCTCCTAGTTTGCAGGTACATACTCATCAAATACAGGGGTGGTCTTGCGCAAAATGAACCTTGTCAATGCAGTCAAGACAACGCACCCAGGAAAATCAATCGCTTAGAACAATACAGCGCCATCCTCCGGAAGTCCATCCTCTCAAAACAAAACATTCACGAAATAATAAACGCCTTTCGTAGATGGCACAGAGAAAGAAAGAAAAGTATTTTCGGATTACACATGACAAGAAGAAAGCATGAGCGGCAAGAAAAGTCGCAGGAGTGCAATATGCAGCGTGGGGTTGTTTAATTAGGTTATCAAGCCCCGTTACGATGATCAATTCACTCTCCAAAGCCGTAGTCAGCGCCATTTGAAGCACTGGGACTATCCCGGTTGGGATTGTTGAAAGTGAGCTTCAGCTTCGGTTGGCCTGGGGTCCCAGCAGTAAGCGGAGTGTCGGCGCCCGAGGCAAACTCGGTCGAACCATCACCACCAGCGTAATGATCTTCAAAGTTGGCGAGCTCAGGATGGTCCTCGGTCAATCGACGCAATTCCACCAAGCACTTGGTCTGTAATATCATTAGTATGGGGGTAAATAATTTATAAGATCTCACTCAAGCTTACCTCGATATCATTAGCATCCTGGAACAACAGACTGCCATCTTCGTTGTAAGTGCGGGCATTCTGGCAAAGCAAGTGGATGTCATCACGGAACTGCTTCAAGCTCTGGTAATCGGCTCGCTTGACCTTCTTCTGAATCGCATCCATAGCAATGGGATTTTGAATGATCATGTAGTAGTCGGGGTAATAAGAGCGCGGCGGGGGTTTCATGAATGGTTCGATGATGGAACGGACCATGGGGCCTTCTTCACTATCAGAGCCTTCCGGTTGCACCTCGGCCTCCATGTCCATCAACGACTGAATCACAGTATCAAGAATGCGAGTCAAGTTGGCGCGATCAGTAGGGTTGAGCGTATCCGGAACTTTAGGCTGGCGGCCTCTCTTACGCTTAGGCTGTGGGGTTTCTTCCACAACTTCCTCGGCCTTGCGCTTGGGAGGGGGGCCACGACGGCGCTTTTGTTTTTGAGGAGTGTCGTCCTCATCAATGATCGATGGCTCAGGTGAGGAGTCATCTACATCACGTCCAGCCTTGTTAGACTTGCGACGCTCCACACGAGCTTCTTTACGTGCTATCGCATCTTCGATAGTATCGTCATCGGCATCCACTGCCATCAACCACTGCTCTTCGGTGAGACCATCATCGTACTTGGTCACCTTACGCTCACGGGCACCACGACCAGTGACTTCCATCTCGACTTCTTCAGTGACAGGGTTGTCTTCCTGCATATAAATTTCGGGCAATTCTTGCTCGCACATCAATCGAGGGTAGCGGTGGCCAGGACCATATTGGTCAGTGGCAATTCGCTGCCTGTCTATCTCCTGGAAGATGGGAATTTCTTCTTCAGACCGGGCCATAACTTCGTTGAGTTCATCGTCATCCATTTCGTCGTGATCACCAATGTGTTCCGCAGCCTCTGCCGTGTCCAAAAGAGTTCGAAGAAGTGCATCTCGCTCTTCATTAGTGGACTTGTTATCGAATTTTCCGGCCTGGATGACCTTGCCATCCATGTCCAGCTTGAACTGGGCACGCTCGAGGATCTTCTCTTCGACGGAGTTGGAGCTGATAAGCCGCAAAATGCGGACCTCGTTCTTCTGACCAATACGATGAGCACGATCCTGGGCTTGCAAGTCCTGGTGAGGGTTCCAATCCGAGTCATAAATAATAACAGTATCTGCAGTCTGTAGGTTGAGACCAAGACCACCTGCACGGGTGGAAAGCAAAAAGCAAAAGTATTCAGAACCAGGAGCGTTGAACTGCTTTAGGAGCTCTGATCGGTCGTCGGACTTGGTGGATCCGTCGAGGCGGAGGTACTTCATCCCACGGAGGCGAAGGAAATCCTCCATGATATTCATGATCTGGGTCATCTGGAAGAACATCAAGACTCTGTGGCCCGTAGCACGGAACTTAGGAAGGATGCGATCAAGTAACTCAAACTTTCCTGCCGTGCGCCAAAGAAGGTCGTTGGACATACGGGTAGGGTTCATCTGATCTTCAACGGGCTCAAAGACGAACGGATGGTTGCAAAGTTTTCGCAACTGCATAAGCATATTGCTGAGACCCCGCATTCCAGTCTTGCCGCCCTTGCCATCAGTGACAGCCATCTTGTTATGGGTGACAAGTTGCTTGTACAGCTTGGCCTGCAAGGCGGAGAATCGACACTTGATGACACGCTCCTGCTTGTCAGGCAAATCTTTCTCGACATCCTTCTTCAAACGTCTGAGAAGGAATGGCCGAAGAACCTTGTGAAGACGACGAATAACGAGAAGTTGCTCCTCTTCGCTCAGGTCCATACGGTCCTGGCCACCAGTATTTGCGAAGGGTGTATTGAACCATTCATCAAACGACTTGACAGACTTGAAGATATTGGGAAGGACAAAGTTGAGAAGAGCCCATAGTTCGGGCAAGTTGTTTTGCAGAGGGGTACCGGTCAAAATGATACGGTATCGACTGGTGTAGTAGGTTGAAAGAGTGCTACTGAGCTTGGACTGCGTGTTCTTCATGCGGTGACCTTCGTCGACAATCATGTGTGTCCACTTGATCTTGCTGAGGATCGGACGATCCTTGATGATGTACTCGTAGGTGGTCAGAAGAACTTGGAAGTTGCCCCAGCGGATCTGCTGCTGTTGCTGCTTTCTTGCATTAGGTGGGCCCTTGTAGACTACCTTGCTCACGCCGGGCGCCCACTTATCGAACTCATTGTTCCAATTGGTGAGCGTGGACAGTGGAACAATGACCAAAAATGGCCCATTATTCTTTTTCTTTTCGATGATGTGGGTAATCAAACTGATTGTCTGGATCGTCTTTCCGAGACCCATCTCGTCAGCCAAAATACCGTTCAGGTTGTTGTTGTACAGTGAAATCATCCATTGCAAACCCTTAATCTGATACTCCTTAAGAGTTCCTCCCACGAGCATGTCGGGCTGCGTGGTGACTTCTTCATTGATGCGATGAGCAACAGCATAGTAGTCGACCTTCTTCTTTCCAGTGGCGGTATGCCCGTCTCCCTCATCTTCGCTATCCGCAAGCTCTTGGTCAGACTCATCATCATACTCATGCGCCTCCCCATAACGATTAGCCAGGCTCCGCTGCTGTTCCTTGACGGAGGCGGCAAGCTGCTTAAGGAAGTTGTCGGTCTGCTTGAGCAGATGAGAGATACGTGAATCCTTCGCTTGTCCCAAAAGCTTCAGGTATGTCTCTTCATCGTTGGCCTTCAAGGCCTGCAGACGTTGCTTGGCAGTTCGCTCCACACGCCTCTGCTCTTCGCGTTCCATGTGCTGATGGTGTGAAATCATCATACGGCCTAGCTTCTGCGAGCGCGCACGTTGCTGGACAGAAGCATTGGCGAGATCAGCGCTGTGGTTGAGGATGGCCTGCAACTGATCGTACTGCTTCTTCTTCTCGCGAGATTCACGAGCATCACGTTGTTGCTTCTCAAGCTTCTCGGTGATACGAGCCTCACGCAGTGACTGCTTCTTCATGCGGCGGTGACTCGAGCGATTAGCTGTCATTCCGAGGTTACTGTAGTGGAACATCTCGCTCTGAAGCTGCTTGCGGTACTGTCGCTGTTTAGGTAAAAGATTCAGTGATTTGTACTCAATCAGGGCCTTGAGCTTGAGGGAGTCATCGTAGGTTGGTGCGTCGCTCTTGCTTGTATCCCATACACCGAGATTAGCGGGTAATTGAGCAAGCTCTGCTTTGCGGGCGGTGATTTTATTATACAGTATGATCTCACGATCCTCGCGCATCTGCTCCAAATCAATTCCAGGTGGCAAGAGAGCAGGGATGCGCACACGATTTGCACGGTTGGCGTGATCAGTATAGCTAATAGTCTTGGAGAGTGAGTCGTATGGAGACTGGAAATTGTCATACCACTCCCTGGTCATGACTTCAGCATCTGCGCTTTCTGGAGCCTGGCTGCCAGCGCCATCAGCGGCAGCTTCAATGATCTTTTCGGCTGCGGTAACGTTCTCTGTGGGAGTAGGTGGTTGGGACTTTTTCTGATTTTGGAAAAGCTGTTCTTGAACACGCGGGGGAATGGCGAGATTCTTGGACAGCATCTTGAAAGCCAGGATCTGGTTCCGAAGAGTAGCCAGTTGCTCTGGTGAAAAGCTACCGCTGCCAACTGTCGCATTTTTCTGATTCAAAGCAACCGCCGAGGCGTTAGTGGCACTAGGTGTGGCAGCAGTCGAGGAAGCCGAGGGTGTGCGACCTAGAAGAGCATCTGTCAGTCTTGTGGAAGACCTTGGGGTTGGAGGGGAACGAGGAGAGTAAATGACAAAGCTTACCATGAGAGCCATTGGCAGCTTCAGGAGTAGCGCCGTTCATCTGTTGCTGTTGGCGCTGCTGTTGAGCCTGCTGCTGAGCCATGCGCTGTTGTTTTTGAAAAGCCTGTTGCCGTTGAATGGCAGCAAGTAGGTTGTGGGCCTTGATGAACTCCGGGTCATCGGGGCGAACACCTTGTTCTTGCATTTGCTTGTATTTCTGGGGCAAAGGTTAGAGACGGCAGCAAGGGCAGGCAAGGCATAGTAAGGCGCATCAAGGTATTAAAAAATTGATATACGGGAAGGTGCGTTGTTGTAATGCGACAAACTTACCTGAAGTATCTCCTGGACATTTTGCTGCGTGAGGTTAGGCGGCAAGCTCACGTTGCCAGGCGCCATGTTGGGCGCTGGGTGTAAGGAAGCCATTGAGACGCGTGTAATTTTCTTTAATTCATGAGCAAGTGAGGTAGGTTGGGGGCAATGTCAAGGTCGATGCGGAGTTGTGGCAAGTCACGGTCTCCACCTAGTATCAATTGCCAAGTCGCGTGGGGAAGAGAAGGGCGATCGCGATCGAGATAATGGCAAGCAACAGTGTGGGGTGAGCTTGTTTATGGTGAATGCGATCAGTGGGCGACTGTATGGGATGCTTGGCGATGGAAAGCGTGATGTTTGGGGCCGTGGTCGGAGCTTCCGATGCGATGGGGGGAGCGGGTACTTTCAGGGACAAGGGAGTCAAAGAAAGCGAGTAAAAAGGCGAGTTCCCGGGGTAAAGCAGGGTGGGGAGGGAACTCAAAAGTTGAAGGCGCGTTGGGATGGCGCGTTCAAAAAGTGGATGGATGAAAATGGAGATGAGGGAACGGAGTTGCGCGACAGGCTCGGGGAAATCTGGGTGCTCAGAGCAAAGGACTGACAACAGCCTGGCAAGGAGTTTTTTGCAAAGGACCTTTGTCAGCAGTCACGTGATTCCGTGCTGAATTGTAGCCTGGGGCAGCGCAGCTCTGGTACCGTACCGGTTTGGGATAAGTCTACGGAGTACTGGTGTTGTGAGAGAAGAATGAATTTAGTCTGGGTCGAGCATTTGCTTTCTTCGATTCGAGTAAAGCACTGAATGTAGTGATTTGCTTTTCTTGCTGTCACAAGGAAAATGACAATACATCGTATACCCGGGTCCACCCTTGCTGTCAACGGGTATCTACTCCGTTCTCCGTACGGAGTACACGATGGAAGATCATATCTAAATTACAACTAGAATATAACCTCGGGAGTACCTATGTATCAGCTTACCTATCAGTAGATTGAGGTTTGTTTAACTTCCAAGTCCAGTACGTTTGGCGCAGCCACTTGTCATTGACCCAGTAGCACAGTCATTAACGCGCCGTGCTTGTACTTTAATCAGAAACATGGAAACCGGGAGTTCGCTAGACCCGTTTCTTTTTCTTCGTCTATCATGCAGGAAGAATGGAAAAGCGATACAGGCGGAGGACCAGCGATGGAAACGACCTCGGGAGTCTTCTATGTCGGGTGTTGAGACACTAGACCCAAAATGGTAAAGCTAGCTCAGGCAATTCTCAGACTGTTTACACTCTTGAAACGCGAATAAAGGCTTGGATGGTTTTACCTATTCGCTACAAGACACCCATATCCATGTTTGTCATCATCTTACTAACTCTGTATTGAGAATAATAGTAGCCGGGGTATACTCCCGACCTCCACGGGGACCACCACGGCAAAGCAAACCAGAAAGAAGAAAGAACAATCAAAAAGGAGAGGACGATCCCATGTAAGACTCAGGGGATTAGCGACGGAATGATAATAGGTATCACCACCACAACCGATCATAAGCTCCCAAACTCCAAAATCCCATGCTCATGATCAATAACAAACGTAAGAGGCACTTTCAGAACGTTCCCTTACGCATTTGGTGCAGCAAGAAGGGACCGCTTGATGGGTGGAGGTGGAGGGGGCTTCTTGGCACGAGATGGTGGAGGTGGTGGAGGAGCCTTTTTCAATCCAATAGTGTTCAAGTTGTTTGCACTGGGTCTCCGGGATACTGCGCTGCCATGAGATGTTGCGGGTGAGATAGACCTGCCCCCGCTAAACATCCGCTCGGGACTAGAACGGCCATATGAGCTGACCTCTTCGGAGTCGGCATAAGGATCGGCGGAGATTCGACCCCCTACTTGAGTGCTGCCTCGACGTCCAAACCCAGCCAGATTCTCGCTGGCAGTTCGCTGCTGAATCCACTGCGATGCAACTGGCGATTGTTCTTGTCGCAGTTGAGCTGGGCCTTCGAAGGTGGGAACTCTGCTGAGAACGGGGCGTGTGGCCCCACTGGTACTCCCATAGGTCTCTCGCGGGGGCGACTCGGTGTATAGTTTCGTATTAGATCTGGTTGATCGGATGGTAGGCCGAATCTCCGTGGCATTGATCGACTCCTCCTGCAACGGCTCATACCGTTCCTGGTACGAGTGGGCAGTGTTGGAACGAGGACGGGTTGGACGGCGGGGAGGGGCTAGCGCTTGGCCGTTCCTATTTCAGTGTTAGTATCCACGAGATGCAGCGGTCAAGACCAATGCTTACCCAGCCCATTCATTCTTCAGCAGCAGGAGGGCCTCACGGGACCGTTCATGGTATTCAAGCTGGGCGTCCAAAAACGCCCCCATGTCCATGACATTGTCGGATTCGGCTTCTCTAATGTCCTGCATGCGACGCAGCACGTCGTCGCTAGCTTCCTCGTACTTGACTTTTTGTGAACGCAGTTCTTCCTCCACGCGGAAGTCCTCCTTCTTAGCCTTCTCCATCTTAGAGAGAGAAGTGTCGTATGCCAGCCGACGGCTGTCAAGCTTCTTGCGAGCGTGCTAAGAGGCAGGTTAATACGTGGTTTGTCAACCTTCGATGAACGTTCAAATCAAAAGGCGTACCTGCAAGTCTTTCATTTGAGTCAGGGATCTTTCGAGGGACTCAAGCCAGCTTGAAGTCGCCTGCGCGATGTAGCTTTCTTGGATGCGCGCAATGCGTTCTTCGGTGCGTCCAAACACTAATCGAATTGTTAGTGATGCAATTCCTCTCCCACGTTCCCCGGGCTCTTCTTCAGAACTCACTGATCAGACATTGGCCGTATTCCGAGTTCCCATCAAAGTCTTCGCCGTGGGCCACCATGCTGCTTCCCAAATGGGCAATTGGGAGGGTCTTCTCTTTGTCATCTCCCTCATTGCGCTTCGAGATAGCCTTCACATAAGAGGTCATGGATTTATGAATGCGATCAACACCTAGAGAGAGGTTAGATATGGATCAAATATAGGTGCGAAGCGTAGTTCCTACCTTCATGTCGCACCCCCATCTCCGTCTCCATTGCCTTGAAATCATCAGAGAGACAGGTCTTGGCCTCCCCACCCATGCGTTCTCCAGCCCATTGTTTGAATCGGCCGATCCTCTTGTTCACGTGCATGTTGGTATGTAGAATGGAAGAATAATCGAAACCAGCGATTGTGTGAGATAAAAAAAAAAGGAGTCAAGGGAATGTTCAAGTAGAATGTAGAAGAAAAGAGGGGGCAAGTACCTCGGGAGGTTGGAAATTAGATTAAATCATGGGGCACGCAATTATGATAAAATGGTAGGGAATTATAGCGAGGGCAATAGGTTTAGGTCACAATAAATACAATTTATGCATGCAGTAATGCCGATCCTGTCAATCTTGTCAATCAGTGGAGAAAGACCGGGGGCATTGTATAAAGTATTCTTTCAATTCTTATATCATTTGTATGTATGTACCTACAAAAATTGAAGACGTGACTGTATTATCTGTCAACGGACTCCGTATCCGTATGAAGTTTGACACTAAAATAGCCTGAGACCAGGGGAGGAAATTGGTTAGAGCCGTGACACGCGTTAGTGGATGTAGTGGAGAGCCACCAGATCCCATTGGCTTGTGGGTTTGATTACTATAATTATCTTATTGCCACTCCAGAACAGGTCCAGTATCGTACTATGGATACATGTGTAAGACCCTTATCAACTATGGAAATCTTGAAATATACGAGATAAGGGGTAATACCGTACACTCCCGAGGTCGGTGCATGCGATGGCTTGAAAAAAACGGGTTTCAATTCTGTTTCAGTTGATGCAAATGGGCCCATTGAGGACCAGATTCAAGATCCAATGACTATCAGTGGATATTGCATCGCCGCAATGCCAATGCCAATTTAAATCAAAAACGGCTTAAATCCTGTTGATTTCCATCCAATTGACATGAGGTTACGGAGTACATTATTGGTGGAGATAGATACTGCTTCTTTTCAAATATCCATACCAGAAATTGGGTGAAAAATATATCACCACTCAGCCAGAATCATCTGAGGGTCAATAGATAATGAATCAGGCACCCACGTTTGTTCTGATTCCGCCAGCAGTGCATCGAACTCATTCCAGCCACCCATCAATGGGATTTCGTCCCCAGCCGCCGATAGACCAGCCTCTTTCTCACTATTCCTATCTAGATCCAACATCTCACCCCTATCAGAGGCGAAGCGCGGTGTTTCAACCCCAGAAAAAGCATTGGGTGATGAGTCGGGCGAGTGCAGGTTGCTCTGCATAAGGCTTTCTACATATTGACCGGGCGTCACGCCCACATGTTTCTTAAACACGCGATGGAAATGACTGGGTGTCAGGCCAGCCTCAGCCGCCAGATCTTTTAACTTTGGTTTCAGCCCTGCCGTCAGAATGTTCCGGATTGACTCGCAGGCATTTTTAATCATGGTAGTTTGTGGGTTGCTTTGAGCCGCCGTCTGACCCAAATGCGGCCGACAGCGCTTGCAGGGTCGGAAGCCTGCTTTCTCTGCTTGCGGAGGGGTATCATAAAATTGGACATTGGCGCGGCGGGCTAGGCGTGCTGGGCATGAAGGGCGGCAGTATATTTTGGTGGTGAGGACGGCGTAGACGAAACTATTGGCTGTGATGTCGCGGGTTGAGATGGCTTGCCACCGTTTCGTATCGGTGAGGGGATCGGGACTGAGTCGGGGGATCTCTTGGGGCTTGGATAAATCTGTCATATTTATGGTATTCATCGGGTTCTCAAAATATAGATATTTTCAACCTTTTGTGTTCATTGTGGTGTCAAATTCCAGGTAAGGTGAAGTCTCAGGGAACCTCTCGAGGTCCAGGTGGTTGATCTCAAATTGACCAATCACCATCCCGATTGACTCCCAATACCTCCATCACCTACCAGGTCGATGGGTACGGTACACATCCATATCATGTAATATGTATATGTTGGGTCAAATGATTTCCCTGGCATCTCAGATCTGATGTCAACCCTTTCAATTTCTCTTCAGGTCGTTCTACTTGCATGTCTATCTTCTTTCTGGTTCTCATTATGTATATACAAACGTGACCCGACTATATATATATTCAACAAAAAAAAATTGAAATGAAAAGAATAGACTGGAATAGAACATGACAGGGTTTCAATCGAAAATCCATCATTTAGACCAGATGAATTTGCTTCCAAGCTAGTACGGCCTTCGTGAGCCGAAGGACGAAGCCGGGACATATAGGCCTCTTCGCGCATAGTCCCCTAGTCGGAGCTCCTAGCCAAGTTGTCAATATCTTTTCTTTTTTAATATAGTATTAAGCATTCACTAAATCTCAACAGATGCGAAGGATTTACAAACCTCATGGGAATATCCATTAAATGGAGATATATAGCAAATACTTTGATAACAGTCCATTGTAGGAGGTAAGAGATGATCTTTCGCCACATATCTGTACAAAGCGACCAAAAAATTAGAACGACCCTTCTCGCTCATCCTCCAACTTACAATTGCTTGGGTCCTTGGGTATCTGGGAATTTTTTCTCGTCAAAGTGAGGTCTCACGTCCTTCGTGGGAGTTGGGTTAGTCGAACTTCCAAATGGAGAAGACAACGAGCCAAAGCCTTTGTTCGAACCAAACCCTTGATTGTTCGAACCGAACCCCCCATTACCCGTGAATCCAGATGCATTCCCGGTCCCCCAGTTTTGAGAAGGCACTGGATTCGACGGGTTGGATGTGGCAGTGGCTGCATTGTTGTTATGTCCCAACCCGCCATTTTGTATGCCCGGACTGGAAGAGAATAGAGAACTCCGACTTGTACCAAAGCCTCCTTTATTTTGATTTGAAGGGAGGGTCGGCAAAGGAGCCGCGGCCGCTCCTAGTCGAACAATTAGCGTTTGCGCGTATCACATAGTATCTGGAAGTGGTACCTACCAGTGGGAGCAGTTGAAACTTGCGGGAACAGACCAGGCCGAGGAGTGTTGGGCGCCGCCTGAGTTATACGAGCCGTGTCTGTAAGTTTTGGAGTCTGAGTTCGAGGTTTTGACAGTCCTGCTGAAATGATGTTCCGGTGAGTCTGTGACTTCATGAACCGATATATGGAATGTAAATACCCAAGATAGGACGAGCACGCAGCAAAGAGTCCGCCGTACTGAAGGCATTGAGAGTCTGGTTTCCCTTTCGTAGCTTTTCGAGCTCTTCATTGAGACGTTCCCGATCCTTCTGAATGTTCGATGGTTCTGCTGCAATTTCTTGAACCTGCTGATCATCCATACTAAGTACAGTCTTGCCGGTGAAGATGTGCTCCAGAGGGCAAAGAAGGCAATTTTCGATAGCCAATATGGCAACATTATCGACAAATGTCACGATTGCAGTCTGCAAATGTGCCCAGTTAGAATTACCCGATATCTCATTCTCAATAAGCATTTCCAACTCACCTCGTAGTAGGCCTGCATTTGATCAATAATCTCTGCTGCCGCAAACTGATCGCTGGATGACTGTAGCTGAGATGCTGCTTGCTCCAGATCTCGGACATCAAAAGTGTTCCGAGTATCCTCTCCTGCTGCAGGGAAAGATCCAGACAAGTTGAGGTTTCTTTTTAACGCAGAGACCTGTCGATTTTTTCTGGACTCCTGGATCTTGCTGAGAAATGATTTCCCCACAGGCAGCGGATGGCCTCTTTTGGTGTACGAGGTTAACTCGCTGAGCTTTTCTAACAAAGACTCCTTCATTTTCTCCATTTCCGGCCCGATGAGGTGTCGCATGAGCAGGGGCCGGGTATGATCGTCCGTAAGGTTCTTCAGTACCAGCTGGATAAAGTACTCGACCGAATCCCATGTATTCAACAGATGAGATTTTGCAACTGCTTCCCAGGGCTCGCACTGGTCCCTGAACAAACTTCCTACGAGCAGCTGGTTTGCACTACCTGGTAGCTCGATTCCTCGGCTTTGCCGGGCCTGTTCTTTGATCTCACTCACAAGAGACTCCTGGGAAATGTAGAGCGGTGTCCAATTATCCATATAAGGCTTGGACCTCTCTTGGTCGACGTTCTCGACAAGACATGGCTGTCCAGGGAAATTAATGATTCGTCGATTCCCGCGAATGCTCATCGCTTCAGCAAAGCACTCATTAAGCTCACGGATGACCGCCCGCAGTCGGCGGAAAGGGATTTCTTCTGTGGTCGCCGTATGATCTTTGAATCCACCGAAAAATTCATCGACGTACGATCCATTCAAGGCCTGGTTTGTGATTCGTGCAAATCTGCTACTAATGTCGACAAGAAAGTGGCGTTGCTCCTGAAGAGTTGTGCGCGGTACACCCATTTTTGCCAGTGTCTGCTCGTTACGAGCAATCCTTTCTTGTATGTCCGCAATGAGGCCAGGAAGATTGCGACGGACATGACCAAGTAGGATCTTGCTGAGACGGCGTCTCAGACTTTCAATCCCAACTTGGTCTCGAGGGAGGGAAGCCCATCGTCCCCTTTCAAAGAACTCCTTTTCTTGAATATCTCGTGCATCATCGGAAATGTCGCGCGTCTCAAACGAGCGGTTGCGCAGTACATGCCAGCCTAGTTGTAGCTTGACTTTTTCGTTCTTGACGAATTGCACATAAGTTTCTTGTTCCTCCGAGCCCGCTTCGGGGATATCAGGCTGCGTGACAATGCCAAGGACTCTCTCGTATTTGGGATCAAAAGCCTGCGCGATATTCAACACCTTCTGGATATGGTAATCGGCCCTTGCACTGATGACAGCCAGAATGATACTCCGGGAGCTTTTCATGTACTTTTCTGTCAGATTTTGAACTATCTCCATTCCTTGCGCGTTTTGTTCGCTGCTACTAGAGTAGTGGAGGCCCGGAAGGTCGACCAGAGTCAGCTCTGGCTTTTCAGGGCCCGAGATCTCGACTTTAAGGACGTCGTCGCTAAATCCTGTGGTCGAAGTATCGGTGCTAGAAAGTCCCATGCATTCTTTCGCTTTTTCAATCAGCGCAGGAAGGTCTGCACTAGATGAGAAGGACGCGGAGGTGAAGGCTCGGAGGCGCTGTTGTTCCTGCTCGTCTTTCCTGGAATCTCCAGGCTCAATGGAAACTTTGATTTTTTCATGAGGGCTTCGGCGAAGAATAATCTCAGTCGCGAACCGAGTGCAAATATTACTCTTGGATGGAAAGCGCACTCGCGAGATTGCCTCCAGTACAGAGCTTTTTCCGCTAGACTGATTACCACAAACAATAATTTGAGGCAGCTCCACAAGGCCTCCAACTCCAATAGCACGCAGCTCGTCGATCTTGTCTAGCAGCTCTGAATGTTGAGACTGTAGCTGACTCATAGCCTCTTCATCAAGCGGCGATGACATGTTGACAATGTTCTAGTGGTTCTTTTACAAGATAGAGCTGAGGAAGTTTTGAGAGAGGAAATATAAGGGGAAGCCGAGGACTAAATACATGGATTTTTTTTCGACCTATCAATGATCTACATCTGCGAGCGCCTACTTCACCTGCAATCAACTTCATGAAATGAACCACACCCGAGCTATGATTTTCTGATAATTTGTAGACAACGGAGGTCCATATACAGTCCAGGCATCTAGGTTGTCTCCGATTGCACGGCTGTTGTGCCCACATATCATTATTGATGTAGCGTACAGCGTATATAACATTTTTAAGGGTGTAAATCATCTTGTCCCTATTCCAAATGCTTGTTTTTATTTTTACTAGACTGCATTACTGTGATGTGCTCGAAGTATAGTATATAGTCAACGCTGAAGGGACCGGGCCCATCATATAGCGTACCAACACGACCTTGAACTGAAATGGTACAATTCATGGAAAGAAATCATTGGGCTTCACTGTTGCATGGCATCGGTAATATGGCGTGGTGACAACGACTGTGCAGCGAAATGTGTATGCAATTGAGTTACGGCAGAATGTAGGATCTACTAGGGTGATGGACAGGAACGATAAAAAATTTAAAGGTGTATCATTCCACAGCCTCAAAGGCTTTTTGATTTCGTTTCTGCCCTGTAGAGGCCAACCCCGGGCCCCTTTCCATCACCCTTTGATTTGTTCGACAAGAAAAAGGATAGTGTCCACAACCTTAATTCGCTAAGGGCGCATGAGACGCTCATCCGCAGGCGCCTAAGTACATTTGTCTCATAGCAGAATTCCATTTTCAACCCGTCACAAGAATAACTCCAAGAAAAAGCACCCTTAATCCTTGGTCTTCTGGGTACCGCGGAGCAGACCGGTTCTGCGGGCGGCAATGAGACCAGCCTTTTGACCCTGGGTAGCGTAGCGGGAGATGGTCGAGGCCTTACCGATGTGCTGGTGGTTACCACCACCGTGAGGCTGTAGAAAAATATGTTAGAAATTGCAGTCCTATATGTTATCGAATCTGTGTTTGGACCGAAACTTACGTGATCGACGGGGTTCATGGCAACACCACGAGTCTTGGGCCAAGAGTTGCGCTTGACAGCGAACTTGTGCTTGGCACGACCAGCCTTGAGCAAAGGCTTGTCGGTACGGCCACCACCGGCAACGATACCAACCATACCGCGGGCAGTGTTCTTGATGACCTTCTTGGCACCGGAGGGGAGCTTGACACGGGTCTTGCCATCCTCGGGGTTGTGGCCAATAACGGTAACGTAGTTACCGGAGGTACGGCCGAGCGCACCACGGTCACCAGCCTTCTCCTCGACGTTGGTGATGACGGTACCCTCGGGCATAGAGGCGAGGGGAAGGACGTTGCCGACGGTCAGGGCAGCGTTCTTACCGGCGTAGATGAACTGGCCGGTGTACATGCCCTCGTTGGCGATGAAGGTCTCGGTGATCATCTTGAACTTGTAGGGGTGGCGGAACTGGACCTTGGCGAGAGGAGCACCACGGCCGGCATCGTGGATGATCTCCTTGACGACACCACGGGTGTAACCGTGAGCCTCAGCGAAGTCGAGAGTCCGGAATTGGGCAGGGGCCTTGTTCAGGCGGGTGTTGGCCGCTGTAAAGTAGAGAAAAATTCGATATCAGCACTCCAATCTCCTTGCGAATCTGTGTGATTTTCCAATGGTCCTCTTGGTTTCCTCCTTGCTGCTCAGGTTGCGCAGCCTCAAAATTTCGTGCTGGGATGGTTTGCGGTCGCACTCACTGAAAATGGAGCCACGGCCCTTCCTCTGGTTGCGGATGACACGACCCATGGCGACTGTCTATACGAGGATCCTATGTTAGTATGGAAGCCGAACAGAAATGTCGTCGGAAAGTGGTAGTCGTACCTCGAAGTGAAGATAGGCTTGTCGTTGACGAGTTGAGAAATCATCGGACACGGGGACTTGTGTGGGCTTTAGGGTGCGGTCGCTAATCTAACCCAATCGGGCATAGCGCATGGTCGCTTACTTGAATTGGCTGAACTACAGCAACACAGGCATTTCTAGAATAGGCCCTCAATGGTTGGGTTTATAAGGTATTTGTAAATCCATATGGCTCTACTGAACTGCATGTACTATTTGAAGATATTGTTACTCAGAAATCTCTAGATAATTTCATTTTTCTGCCTGAAATACTATTTTAGTGCAAGCCCTGTAGATTTTGGGAGGGCAAATTATGTCATCATATACACGTGATTGCCAAGACCTGATATCGCCAGGACTCCTATCTGGCGTGTCACTCTCACTCTTCCTTGGACCTCGAAACGGCTGTCTCTGTATATTACATGATTCCGTGTATGGTTTTGATGTGATAACAATGTCAATGAGATGGAATCCAAACAGGGTTGGGCCATACTTGCCTCTCAAAGTGTTCCAGTTATCTATATCAAATGGTTGACAATGCTCATCGCGTACTTATAGTATGAAAGCAACAAATATGTAAAGCCGTCTCAACCAGTCGCATCCATTACTTACAGGGCTGCCATACTTCTTTAGCTTAGTTGCTCGTTTGGAAATATTCAATGGACTTCATCAGTCCCTCATCAGCTCTTTTGAGCTCTATCTCTATACCAAATCTATAAAATCCAAGCCGCTCTCGTGCCAATATCTCATTTGTTTGAAACATGCTCTTCTAGAAGACTGCAAGAAGCCCCAGTAATAAAAAACTAACAAACAATGGGAGTAGTTGTGTCCTGAATCCTTTAAATAATTGCCCTTCGGGCGCAGGCTCGGTGCAGACGTGACGCTCCATTGCGCGCAACTTACTTCTTCCTTCGTCACCTACCCCATCACTTCCACCATGCCTTCAGATTCAGAACTTTCATCATTATCATCGGCACCTCCGACAGATGACGAAGCTACCATGGCGATTGATCATCCGACTGGTATCGCGAAGTACTTTAAGAAGGAGTCTGAGACGCCGCCACCAAAACGGGAACCATCACCTCCGCATGAATACGTCGTGGCAGACAACCCCGATATCGCGGTAAGTCTACTTTACAGGAAGATTTCGCGCACTACTTGATCTACGGACTTGTATATGACGCGTTAGATCAACAATAGAACACGCTTGCTAAGTTATCACAATCATTAGTTCATCGTTGCTTTCCGCGCGCGTTTTCATGAAGTGTTTCCTAAAGGAGTTCCGCACTATGGCCCACAGGATATCGAGAAAGGAATTGAAGAATCTCCTCCTGGAGAATATATTGAAAGACTTCTATGCGCATTACTTGGGCTTGTTCTGAACCGCAAGAAGGAAGTTGAGTATGGTCGCCACCTGTCGCCCGATACCGTGCGGAGTGCTTGATGCGCTTTTTCTACCCCTCGCGCTATCGGTTGTGAATTTGAGTTCTAATTTCTATGATTGAAATATGCAGACGAAATCACTTTACGCGTCCCCTCGAAGAAGCAATTCATACACATCAGTCGCAGTGGCCAAAAGAATGGGAGGGCAAAAACCCCCTTCATGGGGGTCGCAGCTTTGCGACCATGTCCCCAGTGGAACGTGTATGTTTTCAAGATCTGGCATCTAATTTGTGATTCTGACACGTCTCCTCTTAGGTACGCTTATTGAAGTCCTTGATACTGTGGTCACTATCGTCATCCGAGGCGGTCCAGGCGAAAATCAAGGAATCCTACAAGCAGGCGCGCCACGATGATGACCTTAATCAACCATTGTCTGTCCAACCATGGGGTCGGGATAGCTTGAAACGTCGGTATTGGCTTATCGAAGGGCATGATGATACACACTTCCGTCTCTACCGCGAAAGTAACCCGGCCCTGAAACACAACACTTGGTGGAGCATCGCAGGGAGTATTCCCGAGCTGGAGGCTGTCGTGGAGAAACTTGAGGGCGAAAAGGGCACGAACTCCAAGAAGCTCAGCGAGAGAATTCGCGCTTCTATTCCTCGATTTGAGGCATCCGAAGAGGTGATATTTTATTTGAAAAGTGATTTGGAGTCTGCTAATAAATGAATAGAAACGGAAACGCCGGGAATATCGTCTCGCAAGAAAAGCTACCTTCACTCGTCCGGATCCTGGGTTCTCTATGTATGAAGGTCGTACACGCGGCAAGAAACTGAAGTACACGTACTCGGAAGACGAAGACTTCTTGTCTGATGATGGGCCTTCCGCCCGTCGCTCCACAAGAAACGCAGCTCCTACAGAATCTTACACGGAGTCTAGGCGCCCTCGATTCACGGCAAGTGGGAGGCAGATTCGATCTCGCGCCGGGGGCCTATATGGTGAGGCTTTGCTGACTGGTCAACGCGATGGAGTTGATGAAGAGTTCGATGAAGACGAAGAAGAAGAAGAAGTAAGCAGGCCGCAGAGAGCTCGAACTTCGACCCACCCCAACGGATACTCTGGATACGACCCCGATGATTTGGAGGATGCTTCTGAAGTACATTCAAGCGCGAATGAAAGCGGCAACGAATGGAACGGCGTTGAAGACGATTTGGAGCACGATTTTGAAGGCGACGATGAAGAGAATGAAGCAAGTTCAGACGAGTCAACCGGCAATGAGGAGCCAGAAAGCCTTGTCGTGCAACTTCGATATGGCAAGGGAGATGCATCTAGCAATCCGGAAGTCCAGGTTGACAAACCTCCTGCGGAAGATGTCGAAATGAAGGATACTGTAGAAGCTGCACTGACTTCCTCCGCCCAAGCCCCGACGACACTCACCGATCAATTAAACTCGGGTGCGCAGCAGGCCCCGACCATGATTGCACCTTCAGACCGTTCTGCTCCGATACCCCAAGTTCCGACCCATTCTCCAGCGGTCGTGGCTGCGCCATTTATTTCTAACGGCATCAATCAAAATTGAAACATTTGAGGTTGAATTCGGTTCAGCCAGGCGAGAAAGAGACCAAAAAGCAGCCAGGAATGTACATTCTACGAATTGTTGCTAGATAGATCTTTTTGGATTGCAATTGTACTTTATAGTAGCTCTGTGTGGTGGCCGAAGCTTGAAACGTTATACAAAGTAATGAAATGGAGGTGCCAAAACAAAGACGGTCTTTCTCAAAAGCAATTGCGCAATGAGTTGCATACGCAGTTGATAACACTACAAATGTATACGGATTTGTCCCATTTGACAGCCCATGAAGTCAACCTGGTACACCGATAAGATATATGGCAAAAATAAGATGATCTTCTGCATAGTAGAGTCAAGGGATATAAGAGATGCAAATGGGAATCAACAACAGCAGGCGCCTCCAACAGCACAAACGCCAAAAATGCAAGCAATACAGTGTACACAGAAGCCAGTGGCCAGACCCCTGAATTAAGATACTAATAGGTCGCATCCAGAGCAAAGACAACCTCAGTCAGAGCCTGCATTGGAGAACTGGGCCGTGTAAAACTGCAAAAACTCCTCGAGCGTCAGCCTCTCCACTTGTGCCACTTCTGGTCGAGATCAGATGAGAAATCGACGATTGGGGAAGTAGGTACTCACATCTTCGACCTGCGATGCCAGTTTGGGGTCCCTGGCGGAGCCAATTTGCGGTACATGCCAGTTGTTCACTTCGTACCACCATCTGCGAATCCGACTACCAAGGGTGTGCCCGCTGACTGAGGCATTGCGGTTCCAGAAGCGCCAGCCTGAAAGTGCGAGTGTCCAGACGGTTCCTTGGATCAGAGGAAGAAGTACCTAGAAGGGAACAAGATTAAGTGTTAGCCAAGCGTTTTCAAAGATTTGATAATTGACACTGCAAAGGGATCAACTGAATGGCGGCAGCGCATACCTGGTCCCTAGTAGTAATCCACGCCACTCGTCCCCAGGTATCGGCATCCTTAATGCTGGCCAGATAGCTCTGTTCGAAGCGCAGATCCGGAAGAGGAGGAAGATTCTGTCGCCGGTGGACTGGTCTAATTACTCGGCTTGGATGGACAATGTCGGAGGCAAGGCTGGCTGTTTCGGAGTCCGGGCCAACCACGACGGGTTGTTTTTCTGAAGCTGCCGTGGCTGGATTGATGTCATGTACTGGATCAGGGTTGTGATTGATGCTCGCAGATTGAAGAATCTGGGGGATATCCATAGCGTGGTCGGCCATTTTGGGTTTATATAGGTATGGAGCAAAGAGCTGTGAATAGCGCAGCTCCCAAGGTCGGCCATTACCGGTGGACCGGGGATGCGCAGTCCGCTCTTTTCTGCCAACCCCTCCATATCCTCCATATCCTCCCACCTTTCCCACCTTTTTTACTTCAATTCCATTCTCATTCTGATCAATCATATAACAATGGCTGCTCCTCAAGGTTACCCTCTTCTGTGTCTGGAGAACCCTCTCCTCGGTATGTGAAATATCATAAGTATCATCTAGCCATATTTTTAAAATGCTAACGGGATTACTATAGACATCCAGGCTCGTGGGTATGGATGAACCTGAAGTAAATGAATGCTAAGAGCTAGATGCTGATGTTATTTTTTTTTAGCGATGCCGCTCTCCTCGAGAAGTATGAGCTGAAGCCAAATGATGCTATCCTCGCTGAGGACAAGCACATGGGTATTTACGAGGACCTGCTTGCCCGCGACGCTAAGCTGATCCCCGGTGGTGCTGCTCAGAACACCGCTCGTGGTGCCCAGGTATACATAAAACCCTTTCTACGGTTTGAAAGATTGAGATTAACAATGTTTCCAGTACCTGCTCCCTGAGCAGTCCGTTGTTTACATCGGTTGTATCGGTAAGGACAAGTTCGGTGACATCCTCAAGAAGACTTGCGAGGAGGCCGGTGTCCACACCGAGTACCGTGTTGATGAGGCCCAACCCACTGGTAAGTGTGGTGTTGTCATCACTGGCCACGACCGCAGCATGTGCACCCACCTCGCTGCTGCCAACGAGTACAAGCTTGAGCACCTCCAGCAGCCCGAGATTTGGTCTCTGGTTGAGAAGGCCCAGGTCTACTACGTCGGTGGGTATCACCTGACTGTCTGCGTGCCCGCCATCATCGCCCTTGGTGAGGAGGCTGCCGCTAAGAACAAGGTATGTCAATTGCATTCTGATCCATTGGATCTCTTTTCTAATTTACTTATTTTCATCAGATTTTCATGCTCTCTATCTCTGCTCCTTTCATTGCCCAGTTCTTCAAGGACCAGCTTGACAGCGTTTTGCCCTACACCGACTACACCTTCTGCAACGAGACTGAGGCTATTGCCTACGCCGAGGGCCACCAGTGGGGCACCGAGGATATCACCGAGATCGCCAAGAAGCTCGCTCAGCTCCCCAAGAAGAACACCCAGCGTCCTCGTGTTGCCATTGTCACCCAGGGCACCCTCCCCACCATCGTCGCCGTCGGCTCTGCTTCCGGTGTCGTCGAGGTGAAGGAGTTCAAGGTCCGCGAGATCTCCAAGGAGGCCATCAACGACACCAACGGTGCTGGGTAAGTGATATTAATCTAAACAACGTCACATTCAAATTAACTAACCGATGTCCCCTATAGTGATGCTTTCGCCGGTGGTTTCTGTGCCGGTATCGTCTCAGGCAAGTCCCTTGATGACAGCATCGACATGGGCCAGTGGCTCGCCAGCAAGAGTATCCAGGAGCTTGGACCTTCGTGGGTTTTGCCAAAGTAATATCTTGCAAGTTTACTAGCTAACATCTTTCAATCCGCAGCTACCCTTCCCCCAAGCAGACCTACTCTCGCTCTTAAGCGTTCATAATGTAGGCTACGAAAAAAAAGCATAGACTACCAAACCACCTTCAACACATCTCCCAACCTACTATTGGAAGATTTTGTGCCATCCAGTTCAACAACCGGATGGGCACCACCTGACTTTGGATGATTCAACCCTCTATACCCAATTTTTTTCCTTTTCTTAAAACTTGATGACTTCAACGTACTATCTGAAAAATCGAACGAATACCATACTGTCTTGAGAATCTTGTCCTCAAATAATATGTGACTATTCTCATTTCGGCCAATTGACGAATGAACTATTCATATTCGGGCGATTTACCTTACTTATCCACATGAACAAATACACCCCGTAAACTACTATGAAGAGAAGCACATCAAACGAAAAATTGAATTTAAACTGCCTAAATGACCAGCACGACGGTGTCAGAAGGGTAATGGGCCCCAAGCAACCTGCAAACCCATACCCATTGCAGAGATCACCGTATTCGTGCCACATGATTCTTTAACAAAATGAAAGAAAACAAGGCTAAGGTGAATGGGGAGAACAGGGTTCCAGGTCATATTGCATGAAAAGAAGAAAAGGCAGAAAACAGAACGAAACAAGCGTCTTCTCCAATGGCAGAATGCCCATGTTCATATCCTCGTATTGATCATGTCGTTGAACGCACGTATCCGTCCAAACAAATTGCGAGGAGAGCAAGGACCAAAGAAGTTCTTACGGGAACTAACCATCGGTGTCCTCGCCACCAGAGGACTAGTGCGCCATCAGCCACTTGTGAACTGGCTAGGAGTACAATCTCGCCTGGTCGTTGTAAAGGTGCACACTGCCAGGGTAGGCTTGAATGTGTAGACTCAACGCAAGCAAAATCGCTTCGCGGTACACAGGCGGCCACGCTGATGGAAAAACACAGTACACGCCAGGATAGCTGGAGGTCGAGTTGCACTGTTCTGGCAGCTTGCCCGGCTGGTAGTGTAATATGCATATGCACATAGAAGAACTAAAAAAATGAGAGCTTGGATATCTGAATCAGCCGCCTTGGCCACAGGGTGGGGTTTGTCCGATTGCTCCAAGCTGTGTTCCAGGCTTGCGCCCTCCGATCCCGGAATTGTAGGGAGTTGCTCCAGTGAGACTGCTGGCGATGAAAGCATCATTGGCCCATGAGGGATGTCCCAGGCTGCTGGGCGCTGGCTGGCTCGGGATTTCGAAGGCACCGAATGTCGCTCGTCCATGGTCCCAGCCGCCGGCGGTAGGGCGAGCATGAGACATGCTGGATGAGGCCCACGGTGTGGGCATTGATCCTACATCCAGCGAGTTTGAAAACTGCGTCTGGGTCATCAAGTGCTGTCGGAGCATGAGCTCATTTGCTAACTGATCTTGCGACGGTGAGCGCTCAGAAGGCACGGCAGTTCCAGAAGCCAGGTGGTGTAGTGGAGCTTGCTGACCAGCTTGTGGGCCAAGGCCAGGAGGCGTTCGTGGAGGCGCGGTGTCTCTCAGCGGCGTCCAAATGCTGGGAAGGCTGGGTATGGCAGGCCGTGAGGTATATGACTGAGCCGACGGCGCTCTGAGAGAATCGGGTGCATTCATGACTGGTGGGCCAAGCCCAGGTGGAGGAGCTATTGGGGTGGTGAGAGGTGGAGAGTTTTCGTCACGGAACGGGTAAGCATTGATATGAGGTGAGACATGCGTAGGTGTCGATATCTCTCCCGTGCTCATGAAAGCAAATTGGTCATTGGGTGGGGTTTCATACGTGTCCGAGTCAACAAGTCGCTCGACACCCTCGACGATCTGATGCATGTTGGCGGACATGGATGCCGATGCAGATTGGGAACCGCCGAACAGACTTTGGGCTTCTGCGGCAGGGTATGTATTTTGAGCGGCTTGTGGAATATCCTCGCGCTCAATGCTCGCAGTTGAAAGTGCATGCTGGCGGCCATGAGGGCTAGAGTAGAATTGTGGAGGCAGATCCTCTTCCTGATAGATAAATGTCTTCTTATCTTCACTATCCACAAGAGCCACCGGGATTTTCTAAATGAGATCAGCAATCTGTTTGTTTGTTTATAATATGTTAACAGCTTTTCACGTACTCCTCTCACAACCAAGTCGAGTCCATCAATTACGAATTCACGAATTCGATAGAGCATTTCCATGTTGGGGTGACTTCTCTCAATCCCAAGATCGTGCATCCGGGGCTTTAACTGATCACCACGTCGACCGTATCGGCGAGAAGTGGCAGCCTGATCCAGAGGTGCAAAACCAAGACTTTCTTCGTCTTCCTCCAATAAATAATCAACCTCGGGAAGGCTGACCACATCGAACGAGGATGCGAGCAGGCTCAGCGTACCGGCATAGATTTTCCAGAATTCTTTTATTTGAATCGAGAGCGCTGAATCCTTTTCCTCTTTCTGTTCAACAAGAGACTGGCTGTTTGTGAGTAGCCAGGAGCTGTAATGGCGAAGCGCGGGCAAGATCCGGCGAGCAACCACAGACACTTTATCTGGAATAGGCAGTGCATCTTTGCTGTTTAGATCTTCAAAAGAAGCAGTCCGTTCTAATTCGACCAAAAGTATTTGCAGTAAGGTGAAAAAGGTCTTTACATTGATGCGCTGGAAAAAGACGCGTGCGTCCAAAATGGACTCCTCTGAGGGATTGGTAAGCATATACATGAGCAATGATAAGGGTTCAAACTCTTACCAGTAGACCGGACTTTGGCAAAATCCTCAGCTGCAATATTGATGAGACAGAACTTTTGAAGTGTCCCTTCTAGTGATCGTTCTCTGATCTCGACTGCTAGTTGGCTTAGAACTTCACTCTCCAACTCATCGTGCTCCGGGAAGTCGGTTCCCTTGTAGCATTTAGCATGGAGGTAGAGAAACCACGGAGTCAAGGCCCTTCCAGGGATACCGGCATCTTCAGGGCGTATAAGCTCTCGTTTAGCCCAGGCGCTCATAATTTTCCGGAATTCAATCTCCAGGTTGCCCTTCGCAGTAGGATGAGGTTCTTGAGCTGAAAGAGCTCTGTAGAGATGGTAGGTAGCACGAAGATGATTTCCATCCGCGAGAGCGATAATTGCCAATTGGTTCTGAGATGCACCCGATGCAGGGTTAATCACCGAGGCCAAATCATAATAACCGATGGCAGGGCCCCAATTGCGATCTTTGCTGACAAGTTCCGATTCGCGATAGCGAGAAAGGTCTCCCAGTCGGATAAGGGTTGCGTGACATGACTGGAGAATGAGCTTGCGCAGATCATTGGAGGGCTTGATAGGAGGTTGACCGGACAGATCTAGGAATAACCACGGTCAGCGTGTCTGAAAATGCGGCGCGCAGCTTGTGTGCCTGCCTTACTCTCAAAATTGAACTTGCGCGCAACTCTCTCTAACTCAACAATCCCCCCAAATCGCGACGACAAATGCTGGATGTATCCTCGGTAAAACCGCTGGCTTGACTTGATGAAATCGAGATAATGGCGTTCGAGTTTGCGCCTCTCGACTGGCTTTTTCTTGCCGTGCTCTTCGCGAAACTGATTGACACCCAAACACAGTCAGTGAATCCACCCTTAAAAAAAGTTCCGGTGGCGGGTTTACTTACACGAAGCAACTGCTTGCGAAACCGATTGTTCACTTTCAAGTGCGCATCCCACAGGCGACTCTCCACATCGACCTTGCGGGAAGCATTGAAGTCGAGAAGGATTGCATTTTGAGAAGAGGTCCGGAATCTATGTGAAAAGAGATCAGCCTTGAGCGGCGGCGCGCGCGGGGCTCGTCACTGACTCGGAAAGGAAATGTTCGAATTCATCGAATGTGCGCCGTTCTTGCGAGAAACATTGCAGAAGCTCCTTCTCAGCTTCTATCGCAGTCCTGTATCACCCAACTGGTTAATGTTCACCGTCCACAAATCGAGGGGAAAGCACTCACTTCCAGGCATCCGGGAACGAAGGCGCCATCAGGGAGTTAGCCCGGGGATCCCGAGCGTCAACCTCGCCGGTCAGATGGCTATGGCTTGAAATATGAACGGCGGAGGAGCCATCAGTATGTGAGAGACATGAAAGCGCACGATGATGAGAGTCGAGAGTATGAAAATGCATAAATGCGGTCCCGGCCCTACTATCATTGGTGTTGCCAAGGCGGGAGGTATCGTGTTCCGTATGACGATTACACGTTTTATTTCATCTGATCAACAGCAAATAGTGAAAGGAGACAAATATGCCGATGATCCAGAAGAATCTTATAGGCCATTTATAGACCACTGTCAATACATGCTCGGAGGGTCAGAATGGCTATGAGACCCATGAACTGAGGCATTTTTGTCATCCGATCTTTTCAGACTAGCTTCAACTTCACCTCTAAGATCAGATTCTTTGAGCTTCTCGTATGAAATATTTTGATATCATAGTGCGTGGTATTGACGTATTTTCCTTGCAAATTTGCCCGAACCCTAAAAGGGATATCTAACGGACAGTAAGAGAGTAAGAGAGTAAGAAAGTAAAGAATATCTAAAGACCCGAAGCAACCTTGAAAGCATTGTTACACCTTGCTTCGTACACTAACTTATAGTCTGAGACTATATATAGCTAGCCGCTACCCTCGAAAATCCACCTGGTTAGAAAATTATAACACACATAAACCGCCTCTATATTCAATACAGAGAAGGCGGAGAGTGGAAGAGACTAAAGTCTTGCATGGTCGCTGTACTCTTCCGTACCCTCAAGTTGACCTATCAATCCATATATGCAAGGTGAATTAGACCATGTCGAAACGATCCCGAAGCTCGAGATCTCCATCTCTCGATCAAGATTCCACCTCAGTATCCTCAGTCGCGGTGAATACCACAACTCCCCCTTCTGAGCGTAACAAGCTCATCGACAGTGATACAAACTACCTCCCCGAGGTGATGCATTGCTCCTTACCGCCTCACCGCGAGACGCTATCATTCACATCCTACGAGGATTACGAGGTCCATTACCTTCAGTCTCATGTCAACCGTTGTTCCGAGTGCAGCAAAAACTTCCCCACTGGTCATTTGCTTAACCTACATATCGAGGAGAATCATGACCCGTTAGCTGCTGCGCGGCGAGCCCGTGGCGACAAGACTGTAAGCTCAAGCCTAGCAGTCGTTTTACTCACTTTACTAATGAAAAGCAAAGTTCGGATGCTTCATCGAAGACTGTGAGCGCAAATGTTCCACCCCACAGAAACGACGGCTACATCTTATTGACAAGCACATGTTTCCCCGGGTATGGTTCTAGATCAGAATAGAGTCCCTATGTCACTAACACACTCCACAGAGTTACAACTTCTACATTGTCAATGATGGCGTCGATACACAAACGTCTATGCTGCGACCTATGAACAGTCACAGACGACGCATATCAACGTCGTCTGCTTTGGAGGGCAGGTTGCGGCGCCGAAGCTTGTCCCAATCGAACCCATCGTCAGCAGCAATTGCTGAAAAGAAATCACCAAATGAAATGGACATTGACGAGCTGGAAAAGTCTATGTCTGCTCTGAAGTTCGTGCCTGCAAGTGTTACTAGGAATCGCAACAAGGTGCCTGGCAAATAGTATTCGAACTTCCTTTTGTTTAGATACACAGCCCTTCCAGGGTCCCTATGAGAGATGAGATAATGAGCAATGGAAAGAAGAGTTACTTTTGAGATCTCACTATATGCAAGCTCTAAGGGAAAAAACAAGATAAGCAGTTGCTATTGTCCACAGCAAATAGCGGTAGGGTATAGACAGCACTAAGCAAGTGACGAAGTCATAATACATATAGATCGAACAAACATTGAACCCAAATAACCTGAAGTCCCAATCCCCCATATACACAAAACTCCCTCACACATCATCCAAAA